TTTTTATGTACATAGGAAGATACTAGATTGTTGCCTGTCCTTAGAAATCCTGGGAGTTAATTTACTCTCTTGTGTAAGCTTTTTGTAATAATACTAATATCTTATATACTGTGTTTATGTGACATTTTCTTCTGTAATGTTTTATTGCATAGAAAATATCCCTGTTTTCCTAATACAAAAGAAAAAAAATCCACTGAAATTACCTTTTCCAGGGTAAAATTTATCACATAAAACACGTATTTTAAAAAGAACTAGTAAGATATATTTGAAATTTGTCCCTAAATATCCTCTGCTTCCTTGGATATACATCAAACACACACACAGGTTTTAAAAATCGAATCTTAAAAGCAAGTTTCCTTATGGCACTTAACTATTTGAAGTTTCCAGTTATTTTATACCTGTGAGCACAGAGAGACTTAGTACACTCTCAGATAGTCTGACTTCCCTAGCACGTTCCAGGTCCTTCCCATATGAACAGTAGAGTCAAGGCTATTCTACTACTGACCTGGATCCGCTGGATGCTGAATGTGAACCAAGAAGCAGCTGGGCAATTATAGTCATTAAGTCAGGTGTGGCTGTCTTCAGTTTAACTGAATCTTAAACTTATTTCATTCAGGGTTTTGGCAACAGCACAGGGAGAAAACACACCTTATTCTCACAACTTACGATAGTTATGGTTTTCTGCGTTTAGTTGTTAGCCTACAGTTTCCATAAATTTTGATAACATCTCTCGAAGTCTATTTTCAAAATATACTAGCTGTAGCGTCTAGCAATTCATTGTTACTGTTTTTAAATCCTTTGCTGCCTTTGGAAGTTGTCTTGAGCAACAGTTGACCAACAGGTAAATATATCGGTGGAGGTTTAATCCTGGATATTAACTGCACAGGTTTTTGCATGCACACATTTGTAGAGTGCAGATCACCATGTCTGCCTTTCCTGTGATACTGTCTTTTAGAAGCTGCTGAATTCCAGTGAACTATCCTTTTTCATGTTGAAGTTGATAAAGACTTATAAAACTATTTGGTTATGATCCTATACACAAACTGATCTGATTTGCTGCACTCACTTTTCAGTTAGTAAAGCTTTGCTAGAAAAGTTCCTGTTCATATTGCAGAAGATGTTTGATTTTGCGAAAAAGGATAGCCTATTGTACATGACGGTGTCATGCTTCTATTTAATAGAGAGAAAAACTCAGTTTTCCTAATGATTTGTTTGTCTCCTCCATCCCTAAAGATACCTATTCTAGAAATAAAACTGAAGATCTTTCCAGTTCTTGGAGTAGTGGGGGGAGCAATCTTTTCCTGTTCAAATTATTTCCATGTGATCCTCCATGGCGGTGTTGGCAAGAATGGGTCTACTATCGCAGTAAGACATTATTTTCATCATTCAATATTAATATATAATAAAACTCCAGAATGGAGAAAGAAACCAATTATCTTGATGAATCTGCTTCAGACACATAGCACAAAAACATTTTAAAAACAGTTTAATAGAGTGAAAGCACTTTTCTCATTCAGTGTTCATTACCTCACACAACGACTACAGGCAGCATCAGGGCCATTCATTTGCTTCATTTTGTGCCTCGATCAGACTAGCAGCAAGAATTGGGTGAATGGTAGGAAAGGTACCAAAGGTTTCACAGATGGAAAAATATATTACTTATAAATTTTGTTGGAATTTTACTGAAATTTACTTAAAAGAACTACTCTAATGATTTAGAATTAAATATTTTAACCTCATTTCTTGAGTATATGTGCTTGTCTTTGTGGTCTTTATACTTATACTGTCATAATTTGTATATTTATTCATAATTGTTTTAAAAAGTTAGTACTTTTGCTGGGTGATTGTGGCGCATGCCTTTAATCCCAGCACTCGAGAGGCCGAAGCAGGCGGATCTCTGTGAGTTCGAGACCAGCCTGGTCTACAAGAACTAGTTCCAGGACAGGCTCCAAAGCTACAGAGAAACCCTGTCTCGAAAAAAAACAAAACAAAAACAAAAAACCAGTACTTTTAAGGAAAGGGAAGACAGACTTTCTGACACTTTTAAATTAATGTGATATCTACATTTTAAAAAAGTCTAATACTATCTTCAAGATAGGTGACCATAAGAAGGTAGTATTTATTCAAATGATGCCATTTTATAACAAAACTATTAGAATGGTTTTTAAGAAAAACTATTGTATTCTGTGACTCAAATTTTCTGTCCTTAAAGGGTTTATTGATTTAGAGCAAGGTTTAATTTGTTTTCTTGAGGCAGGGTCTCTCTGTAACCCTAGAAGCCCTGAAATCTGCTTTGTAGACGAGACCAACTCACACCACACCCAGATAGAACAAGATTTATTACCAAGAGTAAACAGGAGATACGGTATTTTTAGTTACAAAAATTCTCATCTTCCCAAGTCACTTGCACATTGGCTCTCAAGACACTTTCAAAAGTCTTCTATAATTATAGATTTTCACATTTTAATGTATCACTTATAATTCAAAAGCAAATTATAAAATTTAGATGTGTCAGTTCTGATCTGCTTGTAAAAACTCATTTTTTTTTGAGGTGTTTTCTCTGCTAACCTTAGTGTAATACTGGGTTTTAGGTACTTGGAATAAGTGTTGCTTTACCATGGGCAATAAAATAGAACACTATCAGAAACATAATAAATTCCAATAAAGATTAGATTTAGTAAAACTCAATAGCCATATAGAGAATATTTTATCAAGAAATAGTTACTAAATGTTTGAAAGATGAATTGAGTTGAAATTCAAGCTAGAAAGCAATTTCTAACTGAAAATGGGGAGTTTTCAACTAGAAAACAAATTAGGATCAAACAAACAAAAATTATACACACAGCTCAAACTCCATGCCCGGCCTTCCCAAACATTGGGATTGTTGGATAGCTCAATACTGCACAGGTTCTCTGGTTTAGCAGATTTTTTTTAAATTGAATTAAATATAACAGCATAATATATAAAAATATAAAGTGCTATTACCTAATATCATTTAGAACATGATTTAATTTTTTTAGACAGGGTCTCTCTATGCGGTCCTGGCTATAATTTATAGACAATTCTAACTTAAAATATTTAAACTTAAAAGAATTAGGCTGTTTTAATGAACACATTGGTGGTTAATAGATTCAGTAAGTATCAATAAGAGTAATGATTCACACTGAAGAAATTTAATGACCTAGAATATATAATTTTATATGAAGGTATTGATACAGAAAGAAACCAAGGTTAAATTAAACCTTTCCTAAGCAATGATTCTGGTATCTTGTAATTAGTGGTCTAAGTTTTATTTTAACATTTTAACAAAAATTTATTGATAACCTTTGATTTATTAAAAGTTGATATAGAAAATCTTATTGCCAGTTTTGTTTGTTGTTAAATCATGCATATATAAAGTTTGAATCAGTATCTGTATATCTTATTTTATAATGCTAGGGTCTTGAGAAAGTTTGAATTAATCCATATACTATGCTGTACTCTTTAGTTGTCTAGTTCTTTGCACAAAATAGACCTTCACAGCTGGCCCTGCTGGCACATGCCTTATAATCTCAGCACTTGAGAGGTGGTAGCAGTAGAATCAAAGTCATCCTAAGCTACATAATGAATCTGAGGCTAATCTGGGCTACATGACACCTTCTTTAAAAAAAAAAATTCAAAACTGGCTACAGTATTCTTTCTCCTGCCAACTCTGTTGAGAGAAGATGGCATCATGCTATCAGTAGTCTGAGGACAGCCTTTCTTCCCCCAGGACATAGAAAGCAAAGGTCACTACTGGTCAGTGGATACCGCAGGAATGCCCCCTTTGATGGAAGCCCTCCTCCTCCACAGGCACACAGGAAGGCCTTGTCAGCCACATGTATGCTGTCACAGCTGCCTAGCCCTGTAATAATCCATTAGGCCAGAAACAACCATCACACAAAGAGCACTTGAGAAAAATGTATTTTGTTTTAAAGAGCCTTGAGGACCTTTGATACTCTATTACAACAACTTTCAAGTAGCTGTTTGGCATGCAGCTGTGGCAGCTCTGTACCCAAGACTGGGTTTGACTATACCCCAAAAGGGTACATACACTCTGGAGTTACTTTCAGCTGCCGAGGCTTGAACAATTCTTAATAGTGATTTCAGCAAAGTGTACTTAGGTTTGACTAGTCACAGCATTCAGAGTTGATGATTTATGTTGCTCTTTTACTCCAGGTGAGCTGAATTTAGACTTCCACATTGTAGTGGGTAACTTTTCCATGAGTCTTCATAGACCAGGGCTGGAACAGATACATGGGCGAAATAATCAAGAGCCTCTCTAGACTTATTGCCTCACTTACTAGAAAGAACTCTCAAATTTGACAGGTTTTAGTAATCAGTCCCTTGGGTCTGGCCCATCACTATCCTGACTCTCTTCCAGGCTCTCACAATCATGATCATGGCTTTCTGGGATCATGGTTTGTCCCTAGAATTGACTGCTCCTCTACGTCACAAAGAATATATTCCAAAAAATCGTGGTTTTATCTTTACCAAAAATAAAATTAAAATGCCTAGGAGATGTAAAGAAAGTGAAAATACATTCTGACAATTTATTGGTGCTTTTCAGCATGTTTTTCGTGAAACATGGCGTGCTGTTACATACCTTTTTTTTTCCAGTATTCACAGGTCTTATACATTTACTACCGGCCATACTTTATTCTATCTTTTGATGACAAATTTTCGGTTTTGAAGAAATTAGAACAAAATTTCAAAAAAGAATTCTTAGTTTAGAATCTTTATAATAAAACAGAAAAATGTTTGCTGTGTAATATGCGTGTTAACATGTGACCAAGTATTTTGCCTTTATCCCTTAGGGTACCAGTGTCTTGTCACCTGGACTCCACATAGGATTAATTATTATATTGGCAATAATGATCTATAAAAAGTCTGCAACAAATGTGTTTGAAAAACACCCTTGCCTTTATACCTTAATGTTCGGATGTGTCTTTGCTAAAGTTGCACAAAAATTGGTGGTAAGAAATTCTTTTATGGTTCACGATATATAAATATTATATATAGTCTTCCACAAAGCTGTAAACAATTTCTTATAAGATGTTGGTTTTCTTTTTTTTTTTAATAAGAGAAGGTTTATTTATTTATTTATTATGTATACAATATTCTGTCTGTGCATATGTGTGCAGGCCAGAAGAGGGCACCAGACCTCATTACAGATGGTTGTGAGCCACCATGTGGTTGCTGGGAATTGAACTCAGGACCTTTGGAAGAACAGGCAATGCTCTTAACCGCTGAGCCATCTCTCCAGCCCGATGTTGGTTTTCTTTTACAACAAATAGCTGTTTCTGTTCCAGGTAAAATTATGAGTTATGAGTTAATAAATAGTACAGCCAATTATAACTTTCTGATATCAAGGAACTTAAATATTAGAACTTTTAGTAAGCTATCTGCCCAAGAACTTGAGATGTACATTAAATATTCCTTTATGAAATGAACTTGTCTTAATAGTGAATATCATAAATATGTCCTAAAAATTAAAGCAAAAAAAAAACATTTAAAAGTTAATAGCAGAAAAAAAAAAACAAAAAAAAAAAAACCCCTAAAACTTAATAGCAAAATTGTTTCCTTTTTTATAGATAGCCCACATGACGAAAAGTGAACTGTATCTTCAAGACACTGTCTTTGCTGGTCCAGGTCTTTTGTTTTTAGACCAATACTTTAATAATTTTATAGATGAATATATTGTTCTGTGGATAGCAATGGTAAGTACTTTTGAGCTTTTTTTTTTTTAACACATCAGCTCACATTTTAATAACCATTTCAGGGGATCATAAATACATAGTCTGTAGTCAAGTGTTTCTGCATATTTAAATTTAATTTACTTTTAATCTATGAATCATATTATGTGTAGAAGTGATTGGCGTATCTCAGAGGTCAGGCTTCCAACAACCTACATCATAGAAATACATCTGTGTACCTAAAGATAATTCTTTTCTCTTCCCCCAAATCAAAACAGGTATTTCACTTTGCCTAAGACTTTCCAACTTTCCTTAAGCTTATTAAAGTTATCCCCGGCTTGTATCAGGTAACAAGCCAATTGGATGGGGTTGGTATTAGCACTTCCTACACCCCAAACTGCTACTTAAATGTTGGAGAAGCAGAACAAATAGTACCCTGTCTCAGGGTAAGATTAGAAGGCTAGCTTCTGTGCAAGGTAAGTACCTTGAATATGGCCCTTGATGACAACATATTTTATTAATGTTGGTCGTAAGACTCACTCCTTGATTATACCGATTAAGGAAGGAATGTACAGGGCTGGAGCAGTGGTTCAGCAGTTAAGAGCACTGGCTACTCTTCCAGAGGACCTGAGTTTATTCTACCATGTAAGTGGTAGAATAAAACCATCTGTGACTCCAGTGCCACATTCTGGCCTCCACTCATGTACTCTTTGGTGCAGACATTAAGCAGAAAATAACAAAAATTTGTTTAAAAGGAATGTATATAATATATATTTCTTATATATTTCTTATAAGAGATACTAAATTTTTGAGGAAAAGTCATTACTAGGAACACTTCAATCTTACCAAATTGAATAAATGGAGCATTAAAATATTATAATATTGAGATCTTTATGGTTGGTATTGAACTTTATGGTGGTTAAGATAGTTTTACTCTATTTTTTCCCACTTATGGCCCTCACTGATTTTTATCAAATTGCTACATACACACACACACACACACACACACACACTTTAGAGCCTGCAGCAAATCTTTTGCTAATTCACATCTTGTTGCTAGACTTAGGTATTTTTTTTTTTTAAAAAAATCTGTTATGTATTCTGTGCACAGGTACCGGTATACATTAAATGACCCCTCAATAGCTTATACAGCATTACACTTACTGGAGTAATAAATTAATAGCCTACTGTTGATAGTCCGTTCAGTCTTCTATTACTCCTAGTAGTGTTAAATTATTTTTTTCTTTCTGATGAATAGTGAATGCTTTTAAGCAATATTCTGAAAAGTCTTTGATAACTAATTTCTTTTTAATTTGCTCTATTTTTATGACTCCAAAACAACTCAATTAAGAAATATCAAATTTATAGTTATAAAAATAAGCCAAATAGGAAATTATTATTAAAGATACCTTGAAAACTTGATGCAAGTATTTTCTAAAATACCTTCTGAGAATTCAATACACGCAATATGAAGTATTTTGATTATATTCACCAATATTTCTTCCCCTAACTCTTCCTAGGTCCATCCTCTAACACCCATCCTTACTTCATGCCCTTTCCAAAATAACCCAATGAGTCCATAAACTTTTGGGTGTGAGGGCTAAGCTTAAATGAGCTTTCCCTCACCTACCAACCTTTACACATCAAAAGCTCCTTAGGATGAGAGCCTGTGTCATGATGAAATGGTTGACTGGCTTCATCTTATGTAGACAACCACATCAATGCTGTGAGCTCATGATCCTGTCATGTCCAAAAGACAGTTTTGTCCCAGTCCTCCTTAGCCTCTGGATTTTTCAGTCTTTCCATACACACACGCCTCCACAATGTTCCCTGAGCCCTTAGGAAAGGGGTTGTGATACTGATGTTTTGTTTGTGGCCAAGTCCTCCACAATGTTAGACTTTTGAAACTCTCAAACTTCTAGGGGAAAGAGTAGGGACTGGCTCAGGGTATATGTGACCTTGAGATCACTAGCCTATCCTGCAAGGGACTCTATGTATAATTCCCAGAACCCCCCCCCCCCCCCGAAAGGTGGGGAGGGCAATAAAAATTAAGCACCTTTTGTTTTTGAGACAGGGTTTCTCTGTGTAACCCTGGCCGTCTTGGAACTCACTGTGTAGACCAGGATGGCCTTGAACTCAGAGATCCACCTGCCTCTGCCTCCAGAGTGCCAGTTATCAAAAGTGAGCACTCAGACCACCTGGCTGAAGCACCTATTTTAAAATAACAATTGGCCTGATTTACACCAATGATAGAGCAGTCTAGTGAACTGAGAATATCATTTTTTTTCTTTAAAAACACTATCCAGACACACAAAACATGGGTCAACAGAACATCTATGGTCTGTAGTATCTCTAGGGCAAGGCTTTCAGAGATAAAAAACATGATAGCATTTTCCAAGTAAATAAAAAGGAACCTTTCCTATGGGTGAGAATTCCATTCCTAAAAGCTTTTTCTGGGCTCTGGAAGAGCAATCATCTCTCCAGCCCCCTGGGCTTTATTTTATGAAGGAAAGTATTTGTCTCTACCATCTGGGCAGTATCTAGAGAGTTTTTCAATACAGCAGAACTTGATGTGTGGAAAACAACTACAGTATCTTTTCTAAGCCTTTATGGTCTTAAATGTCAAAGGAATAAAAATATGTGAACAGCCCCTTTTAATAGGAAATCTGTGGCTTCATTTAATGACAGAAAGTTGGTATAGAGTCAGAAGGCGTAGGTTCTTCTACTTTTGAGAATTTGTACTTTAGTCTTTCTACCTCTGTTTCAGTTTCTATAAATACCCAGAATATATAGATATTGTGGCACATGCTTGTCCCAGCACTTGGGAAGCTAAGTGACACGAGTTAAAGGCCAGCCTGGGATAATGACTATACAAGGCCAACCAGGACTATATAATAGCAAGATCCTGTTTAAAAAACAAAACAAAACCACTAAAATCAAAATAATACTAAAGGCTATATAAGATTTAAGGACAAAAGGTATAAAAAGTATTCTAAAATATAGTATTTTCATTTGGGAATTTTAAGGACATTTGAGATGGGAGTTGTGGCTCTTGATAGAAAAATTGTAGTCTTAGAAAAAAGATGAACCATAACCCATTTTGTATTTTCTTTTTCGCTTCCAAAGGTCATTTCTTCATTTGATATGATGATATACTTTAGTTCTTTGTGCCTGCAAATTTCAAGACACCTTCATCTAAGTATCTTCAAGACTTCATGTCAACAAGCACCTGAACAGGTTCACAAGCATATTGACTGACTAGTAGCCCAAGGAAAAGAGGAGAAGCAGTTAGGGGAACCTATGTATGAAGGAAACCCCCCTATGCAGGAGGCTAGTATATTATCTATAAGGTTATGTTAAATGTAAAAACTATCTTGTAGCTTCCATTATGTCTGTTAGTAACGAATCCCTCTTGTCATTAACATATTTTATCATAGATGTCAGTATAATGTATGAATTAGAAACAAAAAGTTTGACTACTAAGACAATAAGAAATTAAACCCCAATAATTCTAAATAACACTGTCTACAAAATACCTATCAGACTTGGGGTTTTATCAAAGGATTGCACAACTATTCAGAACTTAAAAGAACTTCTAGCTGCCTTGGCAGTGATATCTAAGTATATAACAAGTGATACACTGAGAAGTATTTCGCTATAATAGCTATTGTTCAAGAGATATGCTAATTATAGAAAGGTACACTTTAGTGTACTATCTGGAATTTAAAACAATGGTTATAAGAATTTTGTTGTAATTTGTACTTAAAAAGGAATCTGTTGTACCAAATTCAGCATGATGTGAATCTTTGAGGGTAACCTGTACACCTTAGTAGTCCAAGTAAAAAAAATTTACTTCCATGAAAAAAATTCTCCAAAGGAAGACAAAAAGTAGCTAAAATATTGACAGGAAAGGAAATTAGGAACTTAGAAAAAAATGGTAAGAAAAGGGGGGAAAACAAGTGTCAGTTTCTCAACACTAAGTACATTAGGTACTAATAATAGTCTTTTATTCTCAGTTGAAATAATACTTATGCCATGTGATGAAAATAATCGGACAAATAAACGTGTACGTTTAAGTATTCAAACAAGAAAAGAGGGTTTTTTAAAAGGACTTTTAAAGATTATTTCTCAAAAGGTAAAAATATGTGAATATAGAGAAAACCCTCTGAGGTACTTACTTTGCCTAACTCCTGGTAAACTTCTGAAAGATCTTAAAAGTTTGAATTATACTTAAAGTTTATATTCCATATTCCATGTTGTAGACATAGTAGTAGCCAAGTGGAAGAGTGAATGCTTATAATGGGTGACGCCCTGGCTTGATCTGCCAACAACACCCCACCCAAAAGGATTTATAATTAGGTGAACTGTCCTTTTAATATCTTTTTAATGCTAGAAGGATAATTTCTTTCTAGAAGATCTTCAAAGGGTGAGAGTTGTAGAACAAAATTCAATAGATCATTGAAGTTCAGCCAAACTAGTAATATTAACTGATTTCAAAGAAATGTTGAAGCTCAACTCTTAAATTTCTCTGTATAAATGCCTATTTTAAAAATTAAATACAGTTCAACTTTGGGAATTAACATGAAATCAAGCTTCAGTATATTTACTAATCGATACAATGGAAAAGGCATCAAGGTAATTCTTTTAATTCCTATATATCATAAATAACTTTAGCTGTGTTTGTGATTCTTAATCATTACTAAGGGCATGTGTCTTTAAGTACAGACCAGCCCAATTAAATGGTATCTTGATGACCTTGCAGAAATAAAATATTTATAAATCTAATGATTGAAATTAATGCTTATATTTCAAGTGCATTAATGATTTTAGCATTTTTTAATTTATTCCAAACCACTCAAAGTTCTCCTAATAAACTGTATAACAGATTCTCTTTAAAGAATTGGTGATACTATTTATAAAGATGAACACATAGAACAGATTCTATGGTTTTTTTCCTTAAAGGAGAAACAGTGTAAGCCAGAAGTGGTAGCACACATTTGTTCTTGCTACTTGGGAGGTTGAAGTATAAAGGATTACTTGCTCTCAAAAGTTTGAGACTAATCTAGGCAAGAGTTACACGGAAACTGAAACTTAATCATTTTTATTTATGAAATAGTATAAAAAATGAACAATTCATTATTATAACAAAAGAGCTGAACGCTCACTACAATGAAACAGCTGCTATTTACACAGCTATTTAGGTTTATTTGGAAGTTAACAGGAACAGAAGTCTTCTTAAACAAGCTATTGATTACGGATGTTATAAATTATAATTTCTAAAGGTGTGCCTCATAGCTAATGTTTTAATTCTATCATATTACATAGGTTCAAGTTCTTTCTTCAAAGACTCATCAGAATAACATGGATTGAAGAGACTTTCGAACATTTGCCATCTCTTGTTGCTGCTGTTTCATGAAAGGAGATATGAAACGTTTAATTTTTAGTTAAATGTTATGAAAGTTTCAGCAAATAAAACATTTCAGTGCCTCCATTAATCCCTATCTTTACAATTTAAAATAGAACTTACAGTTTCCATCATAACTTTTTTTTGCAACATAGCCATTTCTTTTTTAAGTTCACTTTGTGTGCCAGTAAACAGGTTATCATTATTTTTCTCCACTTCCTCCAAACTCTAAAACACAAAAAAGCCACTTTGGTTAATAAGCTAACTTTTAATCGTAGGTTCTCCAAACTGTAATTTCAAAAGTAAAAATCTTAATTACTCAAATAATGCTCATTATTTACCCCAACATTCTAAGTATTTCATATATACCAAATTTCCACTATAAACAAGTAAAATATATCATGCATTAATCAATGCAATTACATGAAGTACAATAGTACCATTTACCTTTGGCCAAAACAATGGTTTAATGAAATATTAAGGTCAAGATGGTGAAAAGAAAAATGGGGGCAGGAGCTAGCCAAGATGGGAGAATTGAGAATTTGAGGCTAGTTCTGGGCAATATAGATCCTATCTCAAAAGAAGAAAAAAAAAATCCAGAAGTAGAAAACAGTAGAAACAGTGATAGACCATTTTGAAAATTTCTACTAAGTTTCTTAAAACAGTTGTGTATAATCTACAGACTTCTACAAAAGAGAAAGAAATCTGTAGCATGAAGTCATTTCTCAAGTTTTTTTAAAATTGTTTATTACATTCCATTCATTCAGTGTATATGTTGTGCATGTCTCACACACATGTGTAGAGGACAATGTGTGGGTGTTGGGTTGTCTTCTTTCCTATGGGTCCTATAGATTGAACTCTGCCCTAGTATTTTGTTTTTCTGGACAGGATCTCAATATATAGGCACAGCTCGCCTCAAACTCCCTAATCCTGCCTCAGGCTCCCCCTCTACTAGAATTAGAGGGATGTGCTATAACAGCTAATGAAAAAGGTTAAAATTGTGAAATATTCATTTAACAAATAGTTATTCTATTGCCTACTATGTAAAAAGTACTACGTTCTGTGGAGAAACTAAAAAAGTAATTATGTTTCAATTAGAAAAATTATGGAAATGCAACTTCTGTAGCTATATAGTGGAACACATGAATATTCCTGCTTAGTTGACAAAAAGTACACTATTTCATTAACTAAAAGGGAACTTAAAATATTCTAGAGGAATAGTATAACTGAAGCAGGGAAAATGTCTATGGATTCAGAGAGCAATTTACGAGTTTGGAGTAATGGACATATAGTCTCTGAAGCTTAAAAAGAATCATGCCAGGCAGTGATGGCACACGCCTTTAATCCCAGGAGATAAGTGGATCCCCCTGTGAGTTTGAGGCCAGGCTGGTCTACAGATGAGGTTCCAGGACAACACAGAGAAACCCTGTCCTGAAAAACCCAAAATAAATAAAAAAATCATGTCAAGGGGAATTCTAAATACCTAAAACTTTAGAACAGGAGACTACAGGCACATTTTCAGGGAGGAGGTCTTAGAAAGATAATATGGCAGATTCGAAGAATGATTTGAAGAGAATCAGTTAAAAGTTTTAATAGGACAGAGGGTGATAAGAGAAAGTACAAGCAGAGAATGAACAAATGTAATAGTAATTAAAGGTATCACTTTCAGGAGTAAGAATTCTAGAACAATATAACTAACAATATAAAATATAAAAAATATGGATAACACGGCTTGGTGATGCACGCCTTTAATCCCAGAATTTGGAAGTAAGGCGAGAGGATATGAGTTTGAAGCCAGCCTAGTCTACATAGCAAGTTCCAGGCTAGCCAGACTATACAGTGAGCCCTGTTCTCAAACACAAAAACAAAATACAGCAAAACAAAAGCATGTTACCATGTATAACTCACCTTTACGAACTGCTCATGTAGCTGTTTGATCGCTTTCAGTCTCTGGTTCTGAACAATTCTAGACTGCTGAAAAATCTTCTGTTGTTGTCGAAAAAGGTTCTATAAACATTAAAATAAAATGCCCGTAATAATGATTTGGTAAAAGTGTTTTTGCTATTATGGGCTTCATGCATTCTAGGAAGACACCTAGCTCTGAGCTCTATTCCTAACCTTTTGTCAAAAAACAATTCATATTAAAGGCACTGCTTAAGGTTAATACCTTTAGTATTTTAACAACTATTATGACTAGGTTTAAGTACTTTTACCACTGAAATGCACTATAATAATCCTACAAGTCAATGAGGATGAACATTTCTGACAATATTTTGTGTCCGAGTGTATGGTTACTGGATTCCCTAAATTGGAGTTAGACACAATTTTGAGCTGTCATCTGAGTGCAGATAACAAAACCCAGGTCCTCTGCAAGAACAGTAAGAACTCTTTACCTCTGAGTATTGCTCCAGCACCAAATATTTCTTCGAGACTAGGTTTCACTATGTTGCACAGCCTGACTTGGAACTTGTGACACTCCTACACCTCAGCCTCCTAAGTAGCTGGATTATAGGAATATACCACCATAAAAAAATGAATAGGAAATCTCGGTGTTCAAGGTTTTGAAATAGGGTTCAAGTTGGCCTCAAATTTACTATGTAATCAAAAATGGCCCATTATGAGCATGTTTTAGTGAGTAAGGTCATCAGAGTGGAAAGTAAAAATCATACCTAGTTTAATAAGTGCTAGGGAATCAAACACAAGGCTTTGTGCATGCTAAAGTCTACCAACTGATATATATCCCCAATCTTTATTTTTAGTAATTTCAATGTCTTACAGAAATTTGAATGTTGGACATTTAGTTCCTTAATCTATTCTCCACAAATGACTGTCTTCTAGCCTCTTAATTCACTTACATTCTTTTTTAACAATATTTTTACTTAATTTCATGTGTTTTGTCCACATTCCTATCTGCACGAGAGTGTTCGATTGCTTGGACCTGGAGTTACAGACAGTTGTTAGCTGCCATGTAGATTCTGGGAATGGAAGCTAGGTCCTCTAGAAGAGCAGCCAGTGCTCCTAACCACCATGCCATCTTTCCAGCCCTCACATTCTTACATTCTAGATTGTGCCATGCATTCTATAATGTGAGGGAGAAGCAGATGGGGCACTGAGTTAAAGGCCAGACCCTGTTTTAAAAAAAAAGGGGGGGTTGCTATTCATCACCAGTGGAAATAGAGAAATAATACAGCCTGGATATTCATAAACTATATAGTTGCATGAGGGGTTATAGCCCTGTGATAGCATGTTTTTGTAGACTGCACAAAGCATCTAGATTTATTCCCTAGCATTTACAGGGAGAAAAGGGAGGAGGAGGAGGAGGAGGAGGACAGTGATTGGTTAGGAATGAGCACATGATCGAAACTAGATTAATGATGTCCCACTACATGAATTTTCTGCCAAAGATAATCAGAAAGATTGTTTCAGTCTATGTAGTCACTAAATTTGTAGCAAGTCTGGGACTGGGAGAATTAATACATTAGAGAAGCTCATGGAGACTTAGCAGCAGAGCCCAGATGACACTATAATAAGCAACCCTTCCCTACCCCATTCAACTGTGTTGTCTAAAGCTAACTTAATCCCCAAACCCAATAATTCTTTTATCCACTGACTCCTTTACTTAAAAATGCAAGAAGATCAACTATTGAGAACATTAATACTTTTAGAATACTCTATGCATCTATACTTCTGTGGTTTAGGATTTGGCAATATTAAAACATGTAGACAACAGTGGGCAATATAACTTGTCTTAATTCTATAGACATAAAATATGATTAGGGTCTCTAATCTATTAAAACTAAACCTCAAGTAGAAATAATTATAAAGTCAGTTGTAATACTAACAGTTAGTTTTTCTCCTTGTTCCTCAAATTTCTGCATATCCAGTTCCCACTGCTGAAACATACTCATAAATTGCTGAGAATATTCACTGTTAAGCTTCTGTCTGTAAAAAAAAAAAAAAAAAGAATCCTGTCAAATTTCATCCATGTGAAAATACCATTAAAAACAAATTCAATTCACATATAAAGGAAACCAATATTTTGATAGGAAAATTAAAAGGAAAATTTATGTTGATTTTAAGGTTTTTTTCCTAACAGATGTCTTCTCACATGCTTTTTAGCTCTTGAAAACTAAAGACATTTTGTTTTCCAGAAAAATTTACTTTTACTCTCCAAGGAATTTTTCATTTTTTTCCTACTGAATATAGTTCTCATAACTACTTTAAATTATTTCACTTAGGTTGTGTCCCCTCCCATTCTGGCATGGCAAAAATTTCATACAAAGGAATAGTCAAGTTGGTTAAAATGTGTAAATCTACAATATAAAAACTGATTCTTCTACATTCCCACAGCTATTAAACAGTAGTTTCTATGATATCTACACCTTTCATTCAAGTTAATATATTTCCACAATGGATATAGTTTAATAACCTTTCAGTTATTAAATAAATTTAATATATTAAATAAAATCGTCACTGACTTCTAAGAAACATCTAAATTCTATGAAGGCATGAAGTTACAGAACTAGATTAGAAATAAAGCCAAGCATTTTCATTCACTAAATAAACAGATGCTATTTTCTGTAGGTAATTTACACCAGGACATACTAAAAAATGATAAAGATGTAGCTCTTTAAAATCCTTACATTTCCTCTTGCTGTGTTTTCCAGATCTGCTCAATTTTCTGGTTACTGGCTTTGAAAGAAGCCTTCGTATACATTTCTATTCTTTTTCTCTTAGCAAGGAGAGCTTTGTTGATGTCAGCTATATTGAAAAAAAAACATTGAAATTTAATGTTGAAGAAAATGATTTTATTTTATTCCATAGAATCAAGTAAGTAGGGGTTGGTTCAACAATATCAAGGACATTTAAAATTAAATTTAGTTACCAGGGAGAAGGTTCAGAAGAGAAAAAACAACAACAACAACAAACACCTGTGCTGGGCACATGCTTTTTAATTCCCGAGCACTTGGAAGGAAGAGCTCTGCAGTCAGGTCTCTGAATTTTAGGCCAGCCTGGTCTACATAGTCAGTTCTAGGGCAGCCAGGAAACATAGACCCTGACTCAGAAAAATAAAACACTTGCTTATTATAAGCCTGACAACCTCTAAGTTTGATCCCAGGAATCCACAGTGGAGGGAGCAAACCAACCCCTGAGAGATGTCATCTCCCACCGTGGAAGACAGTCAACTCCCCAAAGTTTTCTCTGACATGGTTGCCACAGCATATTTATACCACACATACATACCACACAAAAACATACAAACATAAAATTTAAAACATTTTAAAAAGAGCACCAATAGGTGTTTTGGAAAACGTGGGCTTTAGAACACTTAGGATTTTGGATTTTCAGACTAGGGAGGCTCAGCCAATAAAGACTATACAAATATTATGAACCTAAACTGTTGGATTCTCAACCATTTCAATTCTGGTTTTTCTAACTGAAGGTAAATTTTAAATTTAAGGATGATAAAAATTTAGTAAAATGAAGGATCAAGGCCAGACTTATGAAGAAAACCTAATAAAGGCTAAATATTTCTAAATTTATAGTACATCCTCCATTTGATAGGCCATACTTTATGCAATTGTTAGAACTCATCAGAAATACTAAATTAGAACAAAGAATCTAAAAAGGATTATTAATAAAATTTGTAAAGTAAGTCAATACCATTAAACATTTTTTATAAAAGAAATCTTAGCATAATATCTAGATAATGCATCTAAGACTACTTTATAATACTTTAATGGGAGATTTTTTTTTGTGCATTTGTTTTCGTTTTGTTGAGATGGGGTTTCATGGCATAGTCCTGGCTGGCTAGGAACTCCCCATGTAGACCATGCTGGCACGGAATTCAAAGATCTGCCTGCCTCTGCTTTCCAAGAGTTGGGTGTGTGCTACCAAGCCCAGTTCACAGTGGGTTTTATAGGGCATTTAGTATCAATAAGTATAGCAGTTCATAAAAAATTTAATACCTTAAATAAGGTTTGCTATGAATTTATCTTTTGTCACTATGTTAGTGTAACTATAATTTATATTTCCAGTAATATATAGTAAGTTTATAAAACAAATTGGCGGGGTGGTGGTGGCATATGTCTTTAATCCCAGCACTCAGGAGGCAGAGGCAGGTAGATCTTTGAATTCAATGCCAGAATGATCTACATTGCGAGTTCCAGGACAGCTAGGGCTGTTACAAAGAGAAACCCTGTCTCACAAAACCAAAAAATAAAACAGTTTTCTTAATACCAAATAGAGCAATTCTTAAAAAGCATAAATTAACAGCATGAATAATCCTTATAGGAAACAAATATTTTTAAGAAGAGTGTTCTATAGCTACAGGTATGGCTCAGCTGTGAAGACCCATTATTGCTCTTCCAAAGGACCCGAGTTCCATTTTCAACACCCTTATCAGGCAGCTCAGAACCAGCTGGAACCCCACTTCCAGGAATCTGTCACCTTCTCTGTATTGCATGGTCATTCTCACAGACACACAGTAAATAAAAAATAAAATTTTGTTTAAAAACAAGCTAATAGATATATGTACAGACAGATAAATAGTATTCTGGAGCTGGTGAGATTGCTCAACAAGTAAAGGTAACTGCAGTCAAGTCTGACAATTTGAGTATGATCCCCAGGATCCATCCATATGGTAGGAGGTTAGTGACTCCAGCAAGCTGTTGTCTGCCCTCCATACATGCATCATGGCATGGTGGACAAGGTGACAGACATCTGTAATCCCAGTACCCACAAGGCTGAAGAGATACCAGTTTAAGGCCAGCCTGGACTAACTAGCAAGTTTCAGCCAGCCAGCCAGTCTCAAAGAAGTAAATAAGCAAAATGCTGTCTCCTAATTAAGCTCATATAAAAACATATTTAAAACTTAAGGTCTAAGGTCTTCGTAATCTCTTACTGGCTGGAAAAGTTGTCATTTACTCTCAATTACATAATTTGTTAGTATAAAATAATAGTTCTCTTATGATGTTATTTATACTCTCCATAAATGAAAGAACACAAGAAGAGTCCTAGAAAATAAGTGAAAGACTAACATACTTTGTGAATATAAAGAAGCAGAAAAAACTTTTCCCCTCTATTTTTCTAAAATTCTTAAAAGTACCACGTTAACTTTTCATATCATGAAAAAGGGGTTAAGAAAGAAAAATCTATGATGCTAATCATAAATATGCAAAACGCTATAAATGAGAACAAGTTAAACAATATCCATACAATGAACTGATCAACATTTCCTATTATTTAATACAGTTTTAAACAATGTTCTTTAAATTATATAACAAAAACATACCTCCAAATTTTTCCAGCATATTCTGTACTTCACCTCTGTGAAAAATTACATTAAAAAAAAATTAACACTAGGAATTTAAGCAACAGAACATTTACCCAATGTGCAGAAGGCCCTAGGTTTGATTCCTAGCACAATAAAAAATAAAACAAAAATTTTAAGAGTCATAATACCACATACCAATTAGTTTATGCTGCTACTTGTTAGATAAACTGAAGTAAACTTTTCTTAATTTATTGAACAAAGGAAACATCTTTGGGGTTTGGGAAATGGCTCAGTTAAATGTTTACTCTGCAAGCAATACCTAACATACCTCAACACCCACCAAAGTGTTTAGTATGCATGTACACTGACACACATGTACACCATCATATTTTTTTTAAAGTCTTACCCCACATCTTCAACTCTTCCTCCAGGTCTTTTCTTCCCATGTTTCTCAATTACTAGAATCTTTTCTGTATTGACAAAATAAATTTTGAAATTAAGTATGCTATTTGTTAAATTTTAATGAAGTCTATTTTCAGTTCTTTTAGGATTTTGTAACAAATTTTAAAAGCAGATAAACAAATGTAATACGTCCTCTGAAAAATGAAAGCACATCACAATTCATGACCCATTTTATAGAAGCAAACTTCTTCTATAAAGAAGCATGGTCAGAATCATGCACTATACCTATCAAGTTACTAGCACTGCAAAGATAGGGGATACTCTGAAGTGCCACAACTCCGATACCGAGATGTGAACATCTGATGAGAAACAAAGTATGTAAAAATGCTTACTTTATCCAGTCTTAAGTGTAGTGGGTTTCTAAGACATTAATACCCAACATTAGGGATATTTACCATCAGCAACATCCTCCTCTGAGCCAGTCAAATCTTTATCCTCTTTCTCAAAGTCAAAGACTTTTTTAGGTTGATCCACCAATGATGGCTTCCCAGATTTCCCAGAATGTTTTCTTCCACCAGGCACCATCTTTAGAGTGTCCTTATTTAAAAAACAAACAAAAAACCAAGCAAATCCCCCAAATCTCTCAATCTGAATTCAAAGACATCCTTTAATTAAACATTTTTTTTATTATTTATTTGAGGGGAGAAACACGTGTGGAAGGCATAGTTAAGGGAAGGAGTCCATTCTCTTCCACCAGCTGAGTCCTCGGGACCCTATCTGGACCATTCCTGTCAGTCTGATTTCCCCGCCCCTAATTCCCCAGGCCTCGCCTCCTGATTCCCTTAGCTCTCCTCTCCTAATTCCCTAGACCCCAAATTCTAATTCTGAGATCCCACCTCCTGATTCCCCTGACGAACCCCTTGGGCCCACGACCCGACTTCCTTCATCGGCTCCTACCTCCCTTGGGCCCATGATCCCTGGTTCCCTCAGCCCCCAACCCTGTCGGGCCCACGACAACCCCCCCCCCAGCTCCCTCAGGCCCCAACCCCGGCTCCCTTGGGACCAGGACCCCAGGACCTCTCGGGCCCAGGACCCTGGCTCCCCCAAGGCCCCGCCCCCTCGGGCTCCCAACCACGGCTCCCTGGGGGGGGGAGGGGCCGACACCCGCCCCCCTCTGGCCCACGACCCTGGCTCCCCCAAGGCCCCGCCCCCTCGGGCTCCCAACCCCGGCTTCCTCGGACCCACGACCACCCCCCAACCCCCCCTCTCCCCCGGCCCAGGACTCCGGTTCCCTCAGACCCACGACCCCGGCTCTCTCAGGCCGACACTCGGGCCCACGACCCCGGCTCCCGGCTCCCACAGGCCCACGACCCCGGCCCCTTCAGGCCCACGACGCCAGGCCTCTCAGGCCCACGGCCCCCTCGGGCCCACGACCCCGGCTCTCTCAGACCGACAACCCCAGACCTCTCGGGCCCTCTCAGCTCCCCACCGACCCGGAGTGGTCCAGTCTCAGGCCTGCCCGCCCCACCAGCCAGGGAGGTTTATCGCGTCAGTCTCGCCCAGCTTCTGCCTCCCTGGAGAAGGAAGGGCAGCCCGGGGCCTCTTCCCTCTTCCCGCAGCCCCGTCACCGGGCCTTCGGCTCCCTCGACACCATCGCCTTACGTCAACAGCCCTGGCGACAACTCGAGGCCTCCGCCGCCTCGCCTCGACGCTTCTGAGGCAGCTTCGCCTTTGAGCGGGAAAAAAATCCAGCGTGGCCTCGACCAAGCTTTCCGCTGATTGGCTGAAGCTATGGGCACGCACGGTGATGTCTTAGCCCCGCCCCATGGGGTGAGCGCACGCACCTGCTCTTCAGGCGCATGCGTATTCCCACTCTGAGGTCATCAGCCCCACCCCCCACCCCCGCAGGGACACGGTGGCCCGGGCAGTACTCCATGAAGCTCACTTCTCCAGACCCTTCTGGGTACCCAAATCGCACCATCTCCATCATTTCAGCATTCAGGTGTGGGGAAGTTGTGACTGTAAATCTCCCAATTTCTGATGTTTTTGTTCGATTCTTCGTTGTTTGTGATACAGGGTCCCACTCTGACCCAAGCTGACTTTAAGCACGCTAATCTTCCTGCTTTAGCTTCCTAAATCCTGGGATGATGGGACTAACCAATGACCGATTTGCATTTTCTGAGTTTTAATGACACATAGACATGGTCTTTGACATGGCAACACGTAATAGTTTTGTTTATAGTTTTAAAAGAATTTTTATGGTTTATTTAGCTGGAGTTACAGACAGCTGTGAGCTGCCATGTGGGTGCTGGGAATTGAGCCCGGGTACTCTGGAAGAGCAGTCAGTAACTGCTGAGCCATCTCTCCAGCCCTAGTTTTATGTTTGAGCATTGCAAGAACAAAAAAGTACAACTCTATAATATTCTATGACTCCCGTTATATTCATTGCTGCTATAAGAACCACGATTATAGATAGCCAGGAGTATCGTGAAAACTCAGAATTTATGCAGAGAAAGCCCTAGCTCTGAGTTTATAAGGTCCTTCATGCTAACTTTTCATCTCTTTAACATTTTCTGGGTTCTTTTTCATTTTTTTTAAATTTATCATTACTTTGAATGATAAAAATCATTCCTCTACAAGTTCTTTAAGATAATTTTTTTTCTAAATGTTGGCTATGTTTGCCTGCAGTTTTGTACCTCGTATCAAACATGTATCTATCCTATTAGTTTTTTTTTAGTATGGAAACTGACGTCTCAATATAATTATGAAGATGTGTATGCTCTTCCATTACAGCAGTGCCATAGATCACCTCCCAGCTAGCTTATGTGAAGAAAGACTGTGCTAGAACAATTGTCCATCTGTGTGTGTGTGTGTGTGTGTGTGTGTGTGTGTGTGTGTGATGATTTGACACCTCCCGGCTAGCTTATGTGAACAAAGACTGTGCTAGAACAACTGTCCTTCTGTGTGTGTGTGTGTGTGTGTGATGATTTGACACATTGGCAGTGTGTAATGATCAAATCAAAATAGAGGTTTCCCAGAATTCTCACGTTTACTCTTCCTGCTTGTTCCTCTGGTAATTTTTTTTTTTTACATCCCTGCATCCAAACCACAATTTTCATCACCCCAACATTAGGAAACTTTCAGTACCTGACAGAGCAAGTCCCACGCCTTGATTTTCCCTCATAAATATACTGTGGGTTCTTGAACTTTCATGTCCTAGATCCATTAAAAACAAACCAAACAAACCTTGTTGTTGTCTCTTATGTGGGAGGGGTCTCACTGATCTATAGACCAAATTAGAGAGGACTGAGTCTTACTGGTCTTTTGCATTTGTGTGTGTATGTGTGTGTGTGCGCGCGCGCACGCGCACACACATGGGTATCCTAACATGTGTGTAACATCTAAAACCAGAGGTCAGTTTTGCACGTCATTCCTCAGCTTCCTTGCAGTTTTGAGTCAGGGCCTCTCGTTGGTACCTGTCACTCACCAGGTAAGCTAGGCTGGGTCCCATGGGTCTTCCTGCCTCAGCTTCCTCCACCTCTCCAGCATTGGGATCACTTGATTCCACTTAGTGGCCAGCTGGAAATGCTAATGAACCTTACTGTAGAAGGTCTGCATATATCGGATGAGAAAGCTGCTCTCAACATTATGTTTCATAACAGTAGCAACATTACAGTTATGAAGTAGCAATGAAATAATTTTACAGTTGGGGGTCCCCACAGCATGAGGGATGTATTAAAGGTTCACAACATTAGGAAGGTTGAGAACCACTGCAACAAAAGCTTAGTCTAGTAGGGCTGGAGAGGTGGCTCAGAAGTTATGAGCACTGGCTGCTCTTCCAAAGGTCCTGAGTTCAATTCCCAGCAACCACATGGTAGCTCACAGCCATCTGTAATGAGGTCTGGTGCCCTCTTCTGGCCTGCAGGGGTGGAGGCAGAACATTGTATATATAATACATAAATAAATCTTTTTAAAAACTTGAACTAAATCTAGGCATCTAGCTGTAGGGCTTGCCCACGCAGGGTAAAGTGGAGGGGAATTCACATGTGTTGGTCTAGTCAAGCTGGAGGGGTGTCTTCTGGAAGTGACCCTGAAATGGAGTTGTTTAGGCTGCCTCTGGCACCTCAGGAGCGACACTGTCACTGTTCTGTAGGTTAGAGGGCTGAGCAGAAAGGGAGCCAGATGGGTCACGTGGAGAAGACATTGTTTTTAAATATCCCAACATTATGTGTGTGTATATGTGTGTGTGTGTGTGTGTGTGTGTGTGTATTTGAAAGTGCTAAGTAAGAAATGTTCTGAAGTGCCTGGCATATTTTATAAATAGAAGTAAAGTAACACACTATGGAAATAAGTTTTTGCTAAAATGCATATGAAATATTGTTTGGAGAGAAATAGCCTAAACCTTCCTGAACTGATCACATCGAGACAGCCTATGGTAAAAAGAATCGCTAGTGAATGACTATATTAGAATCCACAGAAAAGATCCCTTCTGAATATAGGGACAGAGAGAATCAAGACATGTCTACATGCTGGCAGTAGGCAGAGAGGCCTTGGGGAGAGAGCACGGGTGTGTTGGGACTGAGGTTCGGCTGGGAGCCCCTACTGCAGATGCCGGCTACTTTTCATGTTCATTGGAACTCGTCAGTATTGCTGCCTAAGGGACCTGCTGCCGTTTTTGTCTTCTGGTCTTAGTTAGGGTTGAAAGTGCTGTGATGAAACACCATGACCAAAGCAGGAGGCAGCGGGGGCGGGGGAGAGGTGGAGTATTTATCTTATACTTCCACGTCCACAGTCCTTCACTGAAGGAAGTCAGGACAGGAACTCAAACAGGGAGGGGAGCTGGAGGCAGGAACTGATGAACAGGCCAGGGGTGCTGATTATTAGCTTGTTCCACATGGCTTGCTCAGCTTTCTTTCCTTCCCTCTCTTCCTTTTTCTTTCTTTTGGGGGTAGTTTTATTTATTTATTTATTTATTTATTTATTTATTTATTTATTTATTTATTTATTTANCCACCTTGTATGAACCCTATTCTGTTCATAGAATGAGGACTTTTGGAAGATAAATTCTTCACACCCCCGTCATAGCTTCCAACAATGGACAAATCTACCTCCTGGCTAGAAACATTAAAACCCACAGTCAAGTTGATTATTTTGAGGACTGACAAATATTATATATGCTTGTTTGTTTGGTTGGTTGGTTGATTTTTATAGATGGTTTCTCTGTGTAGCCCTGGCTGTCCTGGAACTTGCTCTGTAGACCAGGCTGGCCTCAAAAATAGAGTTCCACCTGTCTCTGCATCCTGAGTGCAGGGATTAAAGGTGTGCGCCTGGCTCAGCCTGCTTTCTTACAGAATCCAGGACCACCTGCCCAGGGCTGGCACTGCCCATAGTGGGCTAGGCCCTCCCATATCTACAGGCTCACCTACAGCCCAATCTTTGGAGGCACTTTTTTTTTTTAGATTTATGGAAAATGTAAAAGAAATGGACACTTTTTTAGATAAGTACCATATACCAAAGCTAAACCAGGACCAGGTGAACAAACTAAATAGACCTGTTAGTCGCAAAGAATTAGAAGTTGTTATCAAAAACATCCCTACCAAAAAAAAGCCCAGGTCCAGACGGTTTCAATGCAGAATTCTACCAGAACTTCCAAGAAGAGCTAATACCTATACTCCTTAATGTATTTCACAATATAGAAACAGAAGAGTCATTGCCAAATTCCTTTTATGAAGCTACATTACCCTAATACCAAAACCACACAAAGACTCAACCAAGAAAGAGAACTACAGGCCAATCTCACTCATGAACATCGATGCAAAAATCCTCAATAAAATACTGGCAAACCGAATCCAAGAACACATTAGAAAAATTATCCATTATGATCAAGTAGGCTTCATCCCAGAGATGCAGGGCTGGTTCAACATACGAAAATCTATCAATGTAATCCATCATATTTATTTATTATGTATACAGTGTTCTGTCTGTCTGTATGCTTGCTGGCCAGAAGAGGGCACCGTCCCCCTCCCTACAATAATAATGGATGAAATAAAAATAACTTAATGTCTTAATAGGCCTTGGCTATTTTTTTTTTCTGTCAATTTGGCAGAAGCTAAGGAATCATCTGGGAAGAAGGAACCACAATTGAGAAAATGCCTCCAAAAGATCAGCCTGTAGGGACATTTTCTTGATTGATGATTAATGTAGATGAACCCAGCCCATGGCAAGAGGTGCCACCTCCTGGGCAGGTGGTCCTGAGTTGTCTAAGAAAGCAGTCTGAGCAAACAGTGGGGAGCAAACCAGTAAGCAGCACCCCTCCATGGCTTTTGATTCAATTGCAACCTCTAGGTTCCTGCTTCTGAATTCCTGTCCAGATTTTAACAACTGACTGTTTAACTGCAAGATGAAAGAAATGCTCCCCCGCCCGCACCCCAGGTTTGCTTTTGGTTGCAGTATTTTATCACAGCCATAGAAACCCTAACTAAGACAGCAGGTAAACAACTGGCGATAGACCACAGTGATGCGGCGTGAATCGGAGAGTAATGGGTAAGAAGGAAAAGGCACATGAAGCAGTAAGAACAGGTTCTCACAGGCACAGGCCAACCGAGAAATGCACAGCATATCTGTGAAAATACTGGCATAGTGTAAAAGTCTGAAGTTGGCAGGTGAGGGGAAGCAGAAGGACCAATTATTAGTTTAAATTTATATTAATTGCTATATTTTTATAATTTTTTTTCTGTGCTGGGGACCTCCACCAAGGCCATGTGCACGAGGGGCAGGTCCTCCAGCACTGAGCTACACATCAGCCACATTTACAGAGTCCTGATGGTGCTCTTTATCAACACTTAGCCTTACCTTGGTCGAATTTTAATCACCAGATTTAAATTTTGCAATGCTTTCGAGTATAGCGGCTTACCTTCAACTTGGGCAATTCAGGGAACTTGGTCTCTCTGTCTGTCTGTCTGTCTGTCTGTCTGTCTGTCTCTCTCTCTCTCTCTCTCTCCTCTCTCCCTCTCTCTCTCTTCACACACACACACACACACACACACACACACACACACACACACACACACACAGCTTCACAGGGGGCAGTTCTCTTGTTGATTTTGCAAGCCTCCTGTGGAAGAAAGACTCCGTTTCTCAGGCCAGAAGTACACAGCGCCTAGAATAAACAAATCACTTATTCATTCCCAACCAGGATTTTCTTTTTTTAAAAAAATATTTTTATGGTTTATTTAACTATTTTATGTGCATTGGTGTGAAGGTGTCAGATTCCCTGCAACTGGATCTCCAGACAGTTGTGAGCTGCCATGTGGGTGCTGGGAATTGAATCTGGGTCCTCTGGAAGAGCAGTCAGTGCTCTTAACCACTGAGTCATATCTCCAGCCCCCCAACCAGGATTTTCTATACTAAACCAGAGATGAAGTTTCTGGACTCCCTGAAGAATGTGAGTTAGGAGGCATGCCTTCATTCTGGGGATAGAACAGACACGGAAAGAGAGGTGGGATGGACAGGGCTGAGCAACAGTCCTGGCGGGCTAAGCCGGGGTCTCTGGAAGGTCACAGGTGGAATGCGCATATGTAAAGGGGGATTTGTTAGCTTGGCTCCCAGTTTGCTCTGGGCAGTACCACAATGGTTGTCTGCACACCGGCTACCTGGTGACTGCTCAGTGCACGAGGCTGGGTGCCTGGGCAGTTCCAATGTGGTGCTGCAGGCCCCAGAAGATTCCTGGAGAGCCAATGATCTTCAGCCTGTGTTGGAAGGCTGAAGAAGCTGGGCTCAGGCATCAACAAAGGACAGCAGCCGCAATAGCTGGGCAGGGGCAGCCACAGGCTAGGAAAGCAGCCAACACGGTAGACACACACACCCGCAGAGGCTCCTGCAAACTGGCAACGATAAGAGCTCCCCTCAGACTTCCTCACATCTGGGCTGCCACAAAGGTGCTGCCCACGGGTAGGTCTTCCCACTACAGCTGACCTAACCTAGATGACATCTTAGGGGTGTGCCTCTTAGAAGAGTCTCGATCCTGTCAACTAGACACACATAGACTGTGTCTCTGGTGCTCCTCTTTTTAAAGAAGTTTACGGTACCTAGGCCATTTGCAACCCAAGCATGTTTCAGTGCCTAGAAATGAATTTCATGTGTGCAGAAAAACTGCCTGCTATTTAATAGAATTTTAAGATAGGGCTGGAACTAGAATAAGGGGGAAGCACAGAGCAGTTAGACTAAGAAGCCCCCTTCATCACTGGATCTGGGGTATTAACTCTTCCCTCTCCCCTTGGCTAAGAAGCTTGGGTAGACCTTGAACTTGCTACCCTCTAGCCTTACCTTCAGGATTCTGGAATGACAGATGTTCACCACCGCCACGCCAGTCTGGAAAAATATATTACCGGAGCTGGTGATGTTGTGCAGCATGTGAAAGTACATGCTGTCAAGTCTGATGGCCCGAGCTGGCTTCCCAGGATCCACGTCACAGGAACAAGCGACGAGTTGGGACGAGTTGGTCTCTGACCTCTAAAGGTACGCCGTGGTGTGTATATGCCCCCCTACACCCACAAAATAAATACATAAGATGGTTACAGTGGCACACACCTTCAATCCAGGCACCCCGGAGGCAGAGGGATTTCTGTGAAACTTAATCACCCCTGTGACAGTGCTAAGAGGGAGTGGTTAACTCACAAGGGCAGAACCTCAGTGATCACGATTAGTGGTGCCTATAAACGGCTCAATGCAAAGAACTTGTCCCCTTTGTCTTCTTGCCATCTGCCCTATTAGCACAAGGCATCATCACTTCTGGGGGGCACAGTATTCAAGGTGTCAACCTGGAAGCAGAACAGTGCTTGGTGACTGAACCTACCAGCATCTTGGACTTGTCAACCCTACTAGGACGTGCATTTCCGCTCCTCAGACTCACTCGTGCTTGTGCGTTTCTCCTTGTGGCGTTGGTTTTGTGATGCGGTCTCTGTTGCACAGGCTACCTGGAACTACGCATCCCTTGAACTCATGCAACTCTCCTATCTCACCCTCCTGAATGCAGGGATGACAAGCATATTATATTTTATTTTTGTACAACAAATGGGCTCAAATCACATTCTGACCTTTTATAGAATTCCATCTGAATGAATGGTTCTAAGGTTTAAATTTTCTGGCCACTCACTGTTCAAATTCTTTCCCAACAATCTGCTGAATCATTAGATAAATGATTGCACGAATGTTTGTATTTTATCATCCACTGTGCTACCAAACTTATTAACCTTATACTCATCTAACCGCAGAAGTCTATATTACATCCAAATGTCCAGTATCTATAACTTTTCCAAAATCAATTCTCAGCTTTTAAATAATACCCAATTAACACTTAATTTGGGGGGGGGATAAATTCCATTCTGAATCTGTTCCCCATCCCACAAAGCAGCATTCTCTAGTATGTTATAATCCTAACCTTTCCATACACTACTTCACACTTTACAGTGCTCACTGCAGAGCCAGAGGGCTGAACACTCCCCACAGACGACCATTCAAGACTGTTGAATCTGGACAGTAATATCACCAATCTTCAAAAACTTTATTCAAGCTAAAAGCATAGGGCTAGAGAGATGGCTCACCGGTTAAGAACACTAGCTGCTCTTCCAGAGGACCTGGGCTCAAACCCCAGCACCTACATGGCAGCTCACAACCATTTGTAACCCCAGTTCCAGAGGCTATGACACCCTCTTCTGATTTCCACAGATGGTGCAGAGACATGCATTCAGGCAAAACACACATACACAATAAATAATAATAGTAAACCCTCAAACCAATAAACGTGATCTTTTTATGAGATTTCGACTTTTGAAATACACAAAATTTACAGCACAACCACGGTATTTACATTTTAAGTTCTCATTACAAAAGTGTGTGCCATTTAGGAAGAATACCATTGACATCATGATTGGAGCTGTCAGAATTCAGAGCGGATTCATGGAATCTGGGCTCCACAAAACCACTATACAATGATATAACGGAGCATGGCTAATGTCGGGGTTTACATAAAAATGAGGCTGTGGTTCAAGTCTGGCTGGGGCCTGTTTTTGTAGAGCTGCGAGTGCGAGCTAAAGCTGGTTCTATTGGGCTGTTTACAAAAATAAAAGAAACCCCCCAAACCAAACAAACAAAAAAATTAAGCCAAGTAGACTGTCTGACAAAGACAGCTGTGTCTCAAGTTACCCGCTCTCTGTTCTTTTAGAAAAAGCTGGCTGACCACTGTTCCCGCACGGCAGGCTGAAAGTGAGCTGCTGAGAGAGACGGATTTCCAGCTGGACGCCAGTGCCGCGTGCTGGCGCCATCAGCACTACTCATTTCCAAAGTGAGGCACTTCTGTTTGAGTGTGTCCATTGCCAAGACATGATCACATCTGGTGAGTAGCATCGGTGCTTGACGCTAGCCCTTTGCAATCGGGCCCGCCGACGAAATCCCGGCATCCTGGGGGCTAGGTTAAACAAAGTGCTGCCAACATCAACCCCCCCAGGTCTTCAGTAGTCATAAGTGATTCAAGACCGCCTGAAGGCTCATAAAAATCAATAATTTAGATATGCTAAAAGGAAAGGCTAGCTCTACATTATTTAAATAAGATCTATACAAACATGTGGACATTCTGAATTCATTATTTCTTAGTCGCTACTGATTTTTAAAAATGAGAAATGAAGGAAAAGAAGAGGAAAGTGGAAAGTTAGGGCCAAAGGACTTCGGAATGCAAAGCCTGGGGTCCCTCAGCACTTGTTCCCAGGCCGGCCCGGCTTCTCAGGCCGCAGGGATTGTGGGAGGAAACCGGGAGCTTGTCAGCGAGGGTCCATCAACAAATCCCTTAAAAGTACAAGCCATAGGGCTGCCAACGCAAGGTCTCAGTGTGCTGATTAACTCCAGGGCCGTGGGCTCTCTATTCATGCTGCAGGAGAACACGGTCTGCACGTTGTCCCTTCTTCCGAGCAGGCCATCTGTGCGTCACATCACGAGACACCCAGTGTCTGTGCGTCACATCACGGGACACCCCAGTGTCTGCATCACATCATGGGACACCCCAGTGTCTGCATCACATCACGGGACACCCCAGTGTCTGCATCACATCACGGGACACCCCTGTGTCGGTGCATCACATCACGGGACACCCCAGTGTCTGTACGTCACATCACGGGACACCCCAGTGTCTGCATCACATCACAGGACACCCCAGTGTCGGTGCATCACATCACGGGACACCCCAGTGTCTGTACGTCACATCATGGGACACCCCAGTGTTGGTGCAGTGCATCACATCACGGGACACCCCAGTGTCGGTGCATCACATCACGGGACACCCCAGTGTCGGTGCATCACATCACAGGACACCCCAGTGTCTGCATCACATCACGGGGACACCCCTGTGTCTGTGCGTCACATCACGGGACACCCCTGTGTCTGTGCGTCACATCACGGGACACCCCTGTGTCGGTGCATCACATCACGGGACACCCCAGTGTCTGTGCGTCACATCACGGGACACCCCTGTGTCTGCATCACATCACGGGGACACCCCTGTGTTGGTGCATCACATCATGAGGACAACCCGTATCTGCGCTGCATCATGGGGACATGCCTGTGTCTGCGTCACGTCATGCGGACACCCTGTGACGGGGAGGTGTGAGATGCGCAGGAGACGCTGAGGTAGGTGATTGCAAACAAAGAACTTCTACACCCTGATTCGATCTGGACTAGCTTCCTTGTGTATTCTCCTCCGGGGAAATAGCTTCCGCTTAAGGGCAATTATCTACATGATAGAGAGCAGAAAATCAGCGTTAGTTTTCCGTACTGATGAGAGACTGTTGGCGAAGCAGGTGTTCCTTCTCTGACCCACACGTTCCTGATCACTGCCTCAGTCTGAAACAAGCTCCTTTCACACTCCTCCCAAACAAAAGCAATCGACAGTTCTACTCAGCGCTATAGTCAATGTGCTCAAGCGTATTCCCACAGAGCTCTGAGACCAAATGATGTTGGCTCGTGGTTCACTGTTTAAAGACCTGCAGGGAGAGCCATTGCTAAGGGCATTTATTTTCAAGATCTCTGTCCAGTTTCATTTGATTTTTTTTTCTAGGTGAAAGAACAGCTGCTGTTTAATCATTGGAACATTAATTCTGAGTTTGAATAGATTATTTTTTTATAACAGTTTAAAAACTATATTAAAATCCTTTCAATGTTTTCTATATTTATCAACAGTCATTTGAAAATAAGACGATGGTTATGAATGGGTTGCAATGCAAAGAGTTCATTTCTAGGTGCTGGAGAGACAGCTGATACAGTCCACCTAGAAACATTGCTTAAGATCTATGCAAAATGGAGACAACTTACTTGTTCAGCAAAAAACGAGAAGATAGTGAATATAATCAGTGTTGCTAGCACGCAGTGGGTCCAAAACTTCAGCTTGTCTCGATATGCCCTCCTGTTCGGACACAAAGAGTTACTGAGTTTTACAAAAACATACTGTGCGTATCGTACGGCAAAAAGACAGTATGCATAGTCAACTCTAAAATGTTAATATACATTTCTAACACAAGTTCAGATCTGTTGTTTTATAATAAATGCTGTTCTCCAGTAGCAAATGTCTCTTCAGCTTCAAAAGAACAGTACTTGTAGACCTTAAAATTTTTAAAATTCATTCATTCACATTCATTTATTTCAGAAAAAAAAATCCTGGACACAGAGAGATTAGCAGGATTAAGTCTCTGCTTGAGAGTGTGGAGAAGCTTGGAGAGTCACTGGCAAGCCATCAGTGGACTCCCGTGTGTGTAGGAACACCTCCACAGCCGCGCCTACTACTGCCCTATACACAGCAGCTAAGACTCAGAAGCAGCTTAGATGTCCCTCAACAGGTGAAGGGATAAAGAAAATATGGTCCACATACACAATGGGATTTATTGAGCCACAAAAAAATGAAATCGTGGCATTAACAGGAAAATGGATGCAACTGGAAATATTCGAGATAAGAGAAAAAAGCTAGACTCCTTTGTATACCTATGTTAATCTGTATGTATTCCTCTGTGTATCTAGGTTAATCTGTATATATTCCTGTGTGTGCCTAGGTTATGAAGCTACAAAACTTCATGAGGGGGCAAGAACAACTCTTACATGGGTGGGGAATGGGAGCTAAGGGAATATACATATCACATGGAAATAGGGGGTATAAATAGGGGAAAGGGGCCAACAAGAGGACAGGGATAGGGACGAAGAGTAAGGGAACAGAACAAACATCAGAGTATACAGTGTTAAAATGCTGTATACATGCTAACAAAAAAACATCCGATATAAAATTTTAAAAAAAACCTAACTTAAAAAAAAAATCCTGCATTCAAGAGGCTGAGGCAGGCAGGCAACTTTCTCCTTGTTTTTTAAAGTGTGTTCTTCAGAGCAAACAGCAGCGTTTATGTTGTAGGACATGTGGATTAACAGGACCCTGAATGTTGGGTGCTGGTCTGGGCTTCTTCCCTTCTTTGTTTAAGGGCTTCTTGACAACGCATCTTCAGAGAGACTGAAAAGCTTCTGCATCTTGCTAGCTCTTTTAGGCCCCAGGTCATATCCACGGGTCTACCATCTGTCTAGGACCATCTTTTTCTCCTTTTTCTCTCTTTTTGCAATACCAAGCTGAGAACACCCAGACACCCACGGTGCATCCTGAACAGACGGGTACTTCTCTCACCAGCTCTCCTTGGTCTATAACAACCGCAGGTACGCTCTGCCATGAGTTGAGACACCTTGCTGTAGGGGAAAACCTTGTCACTTTTGTCATCCCCCCTCTGGTCTGGACCACATAACACTTCTAGTGTTCACCCCGAACACCATGGATACATAAACGGCCTGAACTGTATTGTGCAGATGGGAGCTGTGCTTCGCGACCTCCATTCAGTTACTAGTCTTCTCTTGTCTTCCCAACCACTGCAGGTGATTTCTGGACAATGCTTTACCAAATGTCAGTCTTTCAGACATGATCTACGCAGTTTCTATTGGTTCTGAAAGCTTGCTTGACAGTTTGGGCAGTAAAGGTTGCCATGCTGACTTCATGTGCCTCTTGGTTTGTACGACACAAGATCTTCCAAGTCAGTGCTGCTGTTTTGGCATTGGTCAACAAACAATTGAATAAATGAAGTTTCAGTAAAACTGTAAAAATTCAGTAACATATTTTTTTCAAATCTCTTGAAATGCCAGTAAACGTCTTTTAAATGTTTAATAAAACAAAAATTGTAACTATATTTTCCTAAATAAACTATACATCAGATAACACATCAAAGAAACGTCAGTAATCTGAAATCCAGATACGGATGTATATGTGGATACACGGGCGCACACACGTGCATGCAAAACCAGACTTTACCATTCCTGCAGCTCATGCATATGAAGAAAACGGTTCCGATACTCTCTCGGCAGCTCGAACTGGGAAGGGATAGGAAACATGGATTCATAGAAGTCCCTGAGAACAGCCTTCACAGTCTGGGCGTCTTTGTGATTGTGATCAATGTTGTCGTTCAGGCAAACGAACTTCCTGAAACAGAGAGCTAACGTCACTGGTCATCACACGCGTGAGCCTGACCCAATCCAGCGAGGGATCTGGGCTCCCACACTGTTCCCAGTGCGCCCGCACCCAGCAGTGGTGCCTTTGCTGATGGAGCTCCCTGGAGGAGTCCCTCACCTGCAAAACGGGGACGAGGGCGGATAATTCTTAAAGATCCGTGTAGCCATGGGAATAAATAATGACTTCCACTTAGTGCAGCCAATGTCCGTGTTCAGGAAATGTACCTGACTGGCTGCGATATTTTGTTAGCAGCTAAGCAGAAAATCAGTAACCACCTGAAACAGGTTCTCCGAGCTGCCTAGTATGTCGTGCTCACGTGGTTGGAGAGCTGGTGTCCTACAGTGCAGACCTCTGAGGTTTGAATTAATGTATCTCCAACCAAGCTGAGAGGCTGGAGTTCAGAAGAACCAGGTTAGGATGGGGGCATCCCTTCTGGTTGAAGTTTTCTTTAAGGTAGAAATCACTACACCAAGGTCCCATTAAGGGTATAATAAGTTGTGACGGTACATTTGAAAACAACAAAATTAAAAAAAAAAATTAACAAAACCTTCAGATCCAACTACCAATTATGGAAAAATAGAGAGGACATAGGGACATCTTAAGAACCTACATAAAGAGGAGAGATGGCTCAGAGGTTAAGAGCACTGGCTGCTCTTCCAGAGGACCTGAGTTCAATTCCCAGCAACCACATGGTGGCTCACAACCATCTGTACTGAGATCTGGCGTCCTCCTCTGGCGTGCGGGCATACATCGAGGCAGAATGTTGTACACATAATAAATAAATAAATCTTAAAAAAAAAAAAAAGAACCTACATAAAGAACCAGAGATGAAACGAGTTTTTCACAAAGGAAATTAGCTAAGCAGGGTGGCTGGTGCCTGTATCTCAGGCCAGTTTGGGCTACTGAGAACCTGTCTCAAAAATAAGATAAAAAATAGAAAACAGAAAGGCTAAGAAGCCCTGGGCCCCAGCAGTTAGAGAACTTAGAGAACCCACTCAGGAGAGCCCTCCTGCGTGCTAGGGCACCAGGGACTCAGGCTAACCAGCACGACTCTCAGGAAGAACCTTTTTAGATATACTGAGTGCCCGCTGCCTGTGAGCCCCACCCCTCCCGTCCAGTCTGCTCTGGACCCCCTTCTCTGCGAGGCCCCCTATGGGGAACCTCACACTTAACTTCCATGGAGCGTCTCTGTCTACTCCACACTGAAATAAGCCACTCCCTTCTCTCTAGTCCTGCTTGCTCTTTTCTTAGTCATAGAATTAAAAACAAAGAAAAAACCAACCACATTTTTATAGTCAATCAGAAAAAAAATTACAAAGTTAGTACCTGGGGTTTTTCCTTATGTCATCCAGCTGGCCAACCACATGAGAAACATTGGTGCGAATCATCTTGAAAGCAATTTCTTCTTCTCCCATGATTTCAAACCTAATGGTCAGACGTGTTGAGAGAGCTTAATAAATACGTGAAATGAAAAACACAATTTCATTAATAAAAGCTTTCTTAAAAACTTTATGAAGTCGGGTGGTGGTGGTGCACGCCTTTAACTACAGAGAAATCTTGTCTTGAAAAAAACAACAAAATAAAACATGACAAAAAAAACAAAAACAAACAGACAACAAAAACTTGAGTGGACTCAATGTGCACAGAACCGACTGCGTCGAGATTTGCCCGGAGGAAATCTCACATGATCTTGGGGTGAATGCACAATTAATCAATTAATAAGGCACTGTAAGGGACAAACATGCTGGGCCTTCGGAACTGTCCCGGAGCTGAGCAAAGACGCACCGGCCACTCACCTATACTTGTTCTTGTCTTTATACGCCTTATGGATTTTGTCGGTTACTGGTTTACAGTTGGTGACAAGACTTTTAGTGACTGGCGGCTACGAGAGAACACGAGAGGGTCAGACGGTCGACCAAGGGCACGGTGAGAAAGAGCAAGCGAGGCATAGGCCATGGGCGCTGAACCCAAGGGTCACCAAGAGTTCACGGGGCTCAGGACATACTGAAGGGGAAACGGCTCAGGGGCCAAGCACCCCGTTGCCTTAGGGTCCCTGCCACAGCCTAGCTGAGCTCATGCAGGATGCGTACATAAAGATGTCTGAAAAGCCATGATGGGGCTGGCAATCTAGAGAGCCTCTACTTTCCCTCTTGAGAAAGGGTGTGTTCATGTCCTTGATAACTAACAGCAATTTGGTTACCTTGACAAACAAAATGAAAAAACGAATGACCCGCCCTTGGCCTAGTTCAGCATTTAGTTATTATTTCTGCTCTCTCAGGCACATGACTCTATGGAGCCCTGGCTGACCTGCACTTACTCCGGAGGCCCGGCTGACTGTAAACTTGTCTCCCACTTCTGCCTCTCAGGTGGTGGACTCCAGGCCATGTGCACCAGGCCTGGCTTACAATAGAATTAAAAACAAACGAGCAAAAACCAAGAGGTAACTAACCTACAAATGCCTCGACTGTATGAGCTTGGGCAGAACCGGCATAACTAAATCTGGGGAAGCATTTAGAAAAGAGTTATTATTGTTTACAAACTCTCCTGAGAATGTTCTTGAGCCTGCATAGCTTAACTTCTATGGTCTTAGAAATGATTTTATTCTCTCCAGAGACAGAAGATGACTACACACATACCCTTCCCCTGAACCAGCCAGCTGCGTTACAGGAGTGACAGATGGTTGTAAACCACCATGTAGGTGCTGGGAACCCAACCCAGGTCCTCTACGAGAACAAAAGGTGCTCTTAACCACTGAGCCACCTCTCCCCTCCAGAAAAATTTAACGGAATTTTATTCTGATTATGAAAGCGAGAGCTATTCGTTGTACAAAATATGGAAAATGCAAGATAACAACACCAAAAACCTATCTGTGATTTAAAATATCTTTTGAGGTGTGTAGGCTCTGGTATCCGAGAAGGGGTGGATTTCATTAGGGAATTTTTGATTATTCAAGTCAGAGTGTTATGCTTCCCATTTCCCTCCTCATCCAACTGATTTTCTAAGCATTTCCCACATATCACACGGACAGCTTACAAAACCCAGTTAAACGGTGTCAGTGTATTGTGTGTGAGCCTTCATCGATTCTGAGGCACACATATTCTCACATCTCCTCTTACGATGAACAATCTCCTCACTACTTTAGACAAGTGATATTGCCATAGGTGTGTGCAGCTCACCTGCCATCCCCCACAGAGCCAGGAAGGCCAGCAGCGCCCGGCTGCTGTCTTTCTTTGGGGCGTTCTCTTTCCAAGAGAGTTCTGGGGTTACTCGGTCACTGGAGTGTCTGTTTACAGAATCCAGGTAACCAATCTGAACTTAACATAGTCACAGAGTGGGGAGGGGTTCTGGGCAGGATGTAAGTGACCAGGTATTGTTCGTGCTGCATAGCCTCTGGTTCTGGTGTGCCGCACGCCAATAGTGGCCATACACCCGATAAGGATTAACACGAGACTTACCAGGTTGGGATCGTAGTATGCTTCCTGGGTTGGTGGAATGTTGCTCAGCTGAGTGATATTGGCAGGAAGCATTTTTGAGCAATTTATTAACATGTGTTCCAAACCTGTCAGATCCTAACCAAAGCAAAACATAAACCTGTTATACACATGACAGATAAAAACTGTGGAAGGCATGTGCACACGTTCTATAGACTGGGCAGGTTGAATTTATGCAATCAGAAGTACATAGGTGCATGCACATGTACACACATGTATCTAACAACAATGGGGATAAAAAGGCCGTGAAATTGAAAAAGCTCAACACGGGAGGTACATGAGAGGACCTGGAGGATGTGAACGGAAGGGAAATAATATATATAATCTCAAGAAATGAAAGGAAAACTCATGATAAAAATGTATATGATGGTCTCTAAGTGGCTAAAGGGCTCAAAAGCAGTAGGACTCTAAGTATAAACATTTCAAAAGAGCACCCTCATCTGAACTAGAATGCAGGGCTGTGAGACATCCGTGTTCACAAGGTGCGGCAGGCTCACACGGGTGAGTTTAGCGTTTCTAAGCACCACAGGGGGACCTGGCTGAGAGTCCCCGTCAGTCCCACACCATACCCTGAATGAACTTGCCACAAGGCTCGCATGCAGGTATCTACCACCTGCTTCTCCCCTCAGACGGCAGACGACTACCCCAATGCAAGGCCACAAAAAATAGTCCATAAAACACAAATTTCAAGTATTTTATGTCTGGCATTAATACGTGAATGAGGAGTTTCTAGCCCGGACACTAAATATCCAGAATTTCCTTTACTTGAAATGCAGTATGATAAGAGGCCCCGCCAGAACTGTGTTTCTCACCGGACAAGTCACAGGCTTAGGGCCGAAACAACACGTTACCTGCAAGCTTAAAGGCAGATCGTGGATCCGGGTAGCCAGCGTTCGGATCTCCCTGTCCGACAAGACACCAGACTGGTCTGTATCTACTTCGTCAAAGACTTGGGAAAGATTCAGGGGCTGCACTGCACTCATGAGGTAATAGAAATACGAGAAGGCGAACTGCATGTCCTCCGAGTGGCGCACCTTGTGAAACGATGTCTTGTCAAATTCCTCGGGGAACCTGTCCAGAGAGAACACACAGAGAGCTCTGGATACTCGGTACATACGGTATTGGACGTCTATGAAAACAGAAGCCCGTCTTCACGTCGTTTTTACATGGCATCTTTGAAGGCCGTAGCTCACTGGGGCAAATACACAACAACTGTCGAGCATACTAAGACTTACATATCTTGTAGCTCTTGCATGACGATCCTGTCGATCATGTGTGGCATGTGGGCGGGGACTTTCCTGGACGTGAATCCGAACTTGCTGTTGAGAATCTTATTGACGTATCGGAGCGAATCCGCAAACGTGTCTTTCAGCTGGCGTCCTGCACGTTTGCTGTTGGTCAAGTACGCCAACTGTGTCTTCAATGACTCTTCCTCCTGTAAGGAGCATTCCATGTAACTCAACACTGTTTAGCCCAGAGTAGACTCTACCGACATGAGATAAAGGCACCACCGTGCACTGAGTTATTACAGAATGTGGCACCTGGTCACTAACAGGCCTCCATGCACGACAAATGATAGTTACTATAATATTACCACTTACGAAGCTATTTATGTTCGTGGGCATGACAGGGGATAAGGCTGGATCAAACTTACATCAAGAAGGTCTTGGAAATACTTTCTTTTCTCCCAAGGCAAAAAGCCTGGGTAAGTCTCCGTGTAGTGCCGCAGCCGCCTTCCAGGAACTACTTCTACAGCTATGCGGCTGTCAGCTTCGCCCTCCGCTCTGCCTCCTGCCTCCTCTTTCCCGGTGAGGTCTTCTCTGGATACACTCATGCTTGGTGCACGTGGGGCCTGAGTTTCCAACTTAAATCTTGCATTGCTCTCCAAGACCGGGGGTGGATTCAAACCACGGTCATGGCCATTCGTGTCCACTGTCCCCACTGGGGATGTCTGTCTCTCTGCTCTCTGACTGGCAACAAAGCCACCTGGGCTTCTGTGAGAGGGCTTTTCCTGTGGGGCCTCCAGACGGTCATTTGTTTTGTTGGTCCTTCTAGACGGAGGTTTTCCTTTAGCATCTAGTGAGCCCTTCAGGAAAGACCTCAGCAGGGCTGACTTGGAGAAGTTGTATCCTTTCTGGGTGATGTCTCCAAGCGCCAGCTGCAGGTCCAAGTTGCTCAGTCTCACCTGGACCTCCTTCGGAAGGAGTGAGATATTTACCAGGGGGATTTTCACCTCCTGCTGGAATCTCCCTGTGGTGTTTCCATCGTGTCTCCTGACCTTGGGGAAGCGTTTCTCTTTGGGAACATCTTCAAAAGGGATTTCAGCCTGGGGAAGAGGTGTCACCGAGCTGACCGAATTTTCATAGGCCTTCTGGGTTGTGGCGTTCAGTTTCGGCCCCTCCCTTGTGTCCACCTCCACTGTTATCTGGATTTTGAACTCTTCATCGTTGGAGTTCTGGAGCGTGAGGTTAAAGTGGATCATGGTTGCGTTCATCCCACTGTGCAGTATGAGATGAATGGTTCTCCACTTGTTCGCGATGGACGCGTGCCGGATTATCGGACTGTCGCTGTAGGAGCCTTCCACTCCTCTCTTGGCGATTTTGGCAAAGCTGAAGTATGGCAGGTGTTCACCTTTGGGGATGACATAGTGTGTCTGGTTCGGGAGAAGAGTTACTTTATACAGTTCATAAAAATGATCTAGAGGGAAAAAACACACAAACATGGTTTCTTTTAAATTAGACACTTTTTGTTTTGTTTTGTTTTTCAAGACAGGGTTTCTCTGTAGCTTTGGAGCCTGTCCTGGAACTAGCTCTTGTAGACCAGGCTGGCCTTGAACTCACAGAGATCCGCCTGCCTCTGCCTCCCAAGTGCTGGGATTAAAGGCATATGCAAAGACATTCTTATGCCGTTCCTTAATTCTCGGGGCTCAAGTTTTTATTTTCTAAGGGTGATTTGAACTTTATTTTAAAATGCTCACAAATTCTAACACAAGGTCTGGGGATTTGAGCTGACCCATAGCAGTTTACATGGGACATTGACCCTGGTTCACTATATAGATTGGGGCATAATTTTTAATCAAATAAATTTCAATGACTAATTTCCAACTTTTTGCCCATTTGGAAATTACTTCCAATAATGACACCCACTGAGTGGTCCTCTGTCTGTGGAGTTAGCTCCTTGTTCTTAACGTTTCCACGGCAATAAACATACCTTGTCCACAGTCACCAGCATCAAACCCACAGGACAAGACGTTGCAGGCTTGGTCACAGAACTTATCGGCGAGCCAGGAGTTTGCACACCCTTGGTTGCAGTAAGAGACACTGTTGATTCCTCCACCAAACTGCCAGGGCTGTCCGACGCCAATATTCCCGGTACCCACACCTCCTGCAACAAAGCGACTCCCTCCGCTGTTACCTGTAGAGGGAGGAGGAAGGAAGAGTCCTTACTGGGCTCACAACCGTGAAAGAAGACAGCTCATCATTTCTTACTAATGTTGCAAGATTGATTCATGGGTTGCAGCTACAGATGCTCGTCTCATTCTTTAATGTGGAGACTGTTGCATGGGTTGCAGCTACAGAGGCTCATCCCATTCTTTAAGGGGAGACTCCCTGTGTCTTAAGGGAAGGGAGTTTACCTGTCTGAGTTAGTGATGATTAAGACGGGTAGAGCAGAGCTGGAGAAAGGAAAGAGATTATCCCAAACCACGTCCAGACACAGGCGATAACATTGCCAATGTTAATGTTTTGCTAGGTCCACTTTATACACCCACATCCTCTCCCTGCTGCCGCCTGCGTTTTACAACAGGGCACCTGAGAGAGAAGACTAAACAGGACTTTGACGCTTCGCTTCCTCTAATACTCAACACGTTTCCAAGCCCGTTTCTGCATCCAGAGCACCAGGATTAGGACATCTGTGCATGCTCTTTCTCAGAGCAACCACCCCGCCAGATCAAGAGGGTAATGAAGGTTACAGAACCTTTATGAACTAAAAAACAGTAAGTAAATTGATTTTCAAAAGTGCTAACATCAAGGTCAACGGAGAATGGTGTGTGTGTGGGGGGGGGAATTGGTGGGGTGGTTGCTCTGAGAAAGAGTGTGCACAGATGTCGGTCATCCTGGTGCTCTGGACGCAGAAGCAGGCTTGGATAAGCATGGTTTGTTCTGCAACTGTGATCATTTTACACTCTCCTACAGTTTCCCACCGAAAGTTCCTGCCATGGAGTCCTGCAGACCCAATTGGAACGATCCTCAGGTTTACATAATCAAGAGTATTCTAGCTACTTCAAGTAATGACAGAAGATGCTTTCAAGTTCAGAGCCTACATCAGAGAAATGGATCCATTATTGAATACCATGAATCAACTAGGCCACATGGTAACACCGACCAGGGATCTCTGGACTCGGGAACGTTTCAGCGTGTGATGTAAGCAGTCAAGGGCACACACGTTCTCAGGAATGAGGATGAGGACGCGAACAAGCTGCGTCGAGCACGTCCTTACCGGAGCAGTCGCCGCCATCCCAGTCACAGGCTGAATTATTACAGGCCTTGTCACAGTAGCCGTCTTTAATCCAGGAGCCCGGGCAGCCCTCCGCACAGTTGGGCACAGGCCACGTCAAATACACCTGCGACAAGATCAGAGATGATACAACAGTTTCCAGTGCTTTTCACTCTTGGATTAAAACACTTTAGAAAAAAACACTGAACTTCCAAAGTTTCCCAAAGACTGGCTGCTGAGAACAGTGGGCATTGCCTTCGGCTGGACAGTGCCCATGGCAGAGCTAAACCTGCTGACAGTGGGCACCACCTTTCGCTGGCCAATGCCCACGGGCAGAGTTTAACCTGCTGAGCACAGTTCTTCCTCCCCACTTGCTTCAGAGAACAAGGGCTTGGCTCATGGATTAGTTTTAATAACATGCTCTTATAATATTCTTCTAAATAAAATAGCAATGTGTCAGGTAGATGTGAAGACTCATTCTCGCCAGGACACTCACTCTTAACCCAGTGATCTTCTGCATAACTGCCTCAAGGCTGAGGAAGAAGGCAGCACTGGCAGCCATTATCTCCACCCTAAGGCTGTGTTTAGGCAAATTAATTCCTGCAACATTCTGAGCTCCAGGAAGGCGCAGTTACTTACAAATTAAATCCCCTAGAGAAAAACATGCCCCTCCTTTTTTAAAGTCATCCTTCCTTTGCACAGCACACTTACTCCCAATTGATATTTATTTATTTATTTATTTATTTATTTATTTATTATGTATGCAGTATTCTGCCTGCAGTCCAGAAGAGGGCACCAGACCCCATTTACAGATGGTTGTGAGCCACCATGTGGTTGCTGGGAATTGAACTCAGGACCTTTGGAAGAGCAGGCAATGCTCTTAACCACTGAGCCATCTCTCCAGTCGCCCCCCAATTGATTTTTTTAACTCTAAACTGAAATTACAAGCTGCCAATGGTTACAGTTTGGCTCTATGATAGAGTAGTCTTCTAGTGTGTCTGAGTTCCTGGGGCTGACCCCCAGCACAGAAAACAAACAAATACAGTTCAATGGGACAGGCTCTCCAGCCCAGCTGTTCTAAGCCTTCTGTGTCCTACCCCTCCCAGCAACAGAGGGGCCACCGTACATGGAACTTCACCCCCTCCCCATCTGAAACACTTTAAGCTCATTTTGCCTGTTGGTCATTTGCTGTCATGCCAGCCACAAATTTGTTGCAAAGTGGGTTTGCTGCAATAGAAAGTCTAAGGGTCAAGGAGAAAAAAAAAGGGGGGGGGGTTCTGTTTATCTGAGACCACAGATAACTGCTCGCTCTGCTGCAGTTTGCTTTCTGCTCAACCCAGACTTTCCTGAGCCTGGGAGTCACAGACACAAAGTCATTCCCATTTGCGTAACGAAAAGTATACACAGACACCCGCGGAAACGTGTTTCACATTTGCATATAGAAATGTATACACAGATACCTGAGTTGATTTCCTCAACTGCTAGTGACCGTCAAGCTAGGTGCCCGCCCATCTTAATGCTCACCTTTTGGCCTTTGGAGTGACTGTAGAAGTCGTCGGGCCAAACGTCCTTCCCAAACATGACGTCGTCGTTTAGATAGATGAACTTCTGGGACAGCCCTTCGATGCGGTGGATGTGACTCTCAATGGCAGGTGAACTGAAAGTGGGCAGGTGGCTCAGATTTCGGAAAATGTCCTTGAACAGAAAGCACAGAAGGTAAATAGTAGCCGTGTTGAGTGGGCTGGGCACTTAGAATGGGGAAATGGAGGAGGCTGTGCGGTGGATATGACTCTCAATGGCAGGTGAACTGAAAGTGGGCAGGTGGCTCAGATTTCGGAAAATGTCCTTGAACAGAAAGCACAGAAGGTAAATAGGAGCCGTGTTGAGTGGGCTGGGCACTTAGAATGGGGAAATGGAGGAGGCTGTGCTAATTCAATGAAGGTGGCCGCGGAGGCAGAGAAGCCAAGATCACTGTACCACACTGAAGGCACAGACGGGAAACCACAGCCTGGTGGTGTTTGCAGAGTCACGCACCTGGTGGGTGACTATTGTCACCCGAGGGTTGTCGAGGTTCAGCCAGGATGGAATCTGCCCGTTGGTGACTATGAAGACGTTCCGAACCCACGGCGCATGCCTCTCGATAGACCGCAAAGAGTACCTTAGCTCTTCGTTATCTTCGAAGCGGCTGGCGGACACATCTTCGTCCTGCTTCGACTGGGAGGTCGGGAGACATCGTGCAGCACATAAAGACATGAAGTGTCTAGCCAGACCCCAGCTCTTCCTCCTCGTAAAGACATGAAGTGTCTAGCCAGACCCCAGCTCTTCCTCCTCATAAAGACATGAAGTGTCTAGCCAAACCCCAGCTCTTCCTCCTCGTAAAGACATGGAGTATCTACGCTAAACCCCAGCTCTTCCTCCTGTCTTTACCCTCTGCCTGCTCTGCTCTAAGGGGGAATATCTTTATCTCAACCTGACTCAAGCCGGAGTTATCTAAGAGGAGGGAACCTCAGCTAAGACAATGCCATTGCGAGTTCAGGTTGCAGGCAAGTGTTGGGCATTTTCTTATCAGTGATGCATGGGGAGGGCCCAGTCCTCTGTGGGTGGTTCCCTCCCTGGGCAGGTGGTCCAGAATTCTATAAAAAAGCAGGCTGAGCAAACCATGGGGAACAAGCCAGTAAGCAGCACCCCTCTATGGCCTCTGCATCAGCCCCTGCCGCCAGGTTCTATCCTGTCTGAGTCCCTGTCCTGACTTCCTTTGATGAACAACAGTGATGTGGAAGTGTAAGCCAAACAAGCCCATCTCTCCCCAACTTGATTTGGTCATGGTGTTTGTCACAGCAAAAGAAACCTAAACTAGAACAGGGGCTTTGGCTACACTTTAAATCCAAGTAAGTGCGAGCAGGGGTGTGTGTGTGTGTGTGTGTGTGTGTGTGTGTGTGTGTGTGTGTGTGTGTGAGAGAGAGAGAGAGAGAGAGAGAGAGAGAGAGAGAGAGAGAGAGNTGTGTGTGTGTGTGTGTGTGTGTGTGTGTGTGTGTGTGTGTGTGTGAGAGAGAGAGAGAGAGAGAGAGAGAGAGAGAGAGAGAGAGAGAGAGTTTGATCTTCTCTTTATTATACTTTACATAAAGGATCTTAGATCCAATTGGTCTTCAGGCCTGATGCTCACTACATAGACCAAGCCATCCTCAAATTCACAGAAATTTGCCTGGTTCTGCTCTGGAGTGCTGGGATTAAAGGCATGTGCCATCAAGCCTGACCAAAGCTTTATTTGATTTTTATTGACATTTATGAGTGAAGGACTGAGTGTGTGTGTACGTGGGTGCCCTTGGAGGCCAGAGAAGGGGTGAGATCCCTTGAAGCTAGAGTTATGGGAGGTTATAAGCTGTCCAATGTGGGAGCGAAAGCCAAATTTTGATCCTCCGGAAGAACAGCAAGTGCTCTTAACAGCCATCTCTCCTGCCTTGTTCTTTTCAATAAGTATCAAACCAATGGCTGAGAAGGGAAGTTTGGAAAAGTCTAATGAGATCCTCAGTCAGTCCGCCTCCTTCTCCTACTAAACCAACATCTAGATCTCTAACACTCAGCCCACCGCTCTCCAGTTGAGCTATTCTGACAAAGGCACACATTCTGAATTCCTGACCTGAGCTGCAGGGGTCCAAACCTTTTCCCCGGCTGCAGAGGTCTACAGTCATTCCCCGGCTGTAGGGGGTCTACAGTCCTTACCCGGCTGCAGGGATCTATGCCCCTTTCCTGGCTGCAGGGGTCATCTACAGTCCTTCCCGGGATGTAAAGGTCTAGAAGTCTACAGCCCTCACCTGGCTGATGGCACTCAGGTCCCACAACAGATACGCGGGGCTGATGGTCAGCTCCTTCCCGTTGATAGTCATGTTCTTCTTAGTTTGCTTGTTTAGCTCCTGGAACCCTTTGGGGTTGTTCAGTTTCAGAAGAGCGACGCTGGCCTCCGAGTACAACTGTAGCTGGTAGACAACAAGAGATACACGTGGGCACCCTGGACCTCAGGGAATAAACACAGATTTACCTTTTTTTTTTTTTTTTTCCTTTTGGAGACTGAGTTTCAGAGCCTGGAATGACCTTAACTCGTGGCAATCCTTCTGCCTCAGTTTCCCAAGTGCTGAGATTACAGGTACGAGCCATCATGACCAGCTGTTTAACTTCCAATCTTGAAACGTAAAGACAGTATCGCAGGCCAAAAGTGCTCGCCAGATGACTGTGACAGACCCTCTTAACAGGAATGGGAGAACAGCGTGACCAGGGCACCTTGGGCATCATCTGACAGCTGTAGCCACTCAACCCCACGGGAGACTCTATATCTCCTGAGACGTCAGGCTCTTTTTACGAAATCCCCCCCCAACTCTCAGAGCTGGCTTAAATGACTTTTTATGATCTTTATTTTAAAAACTATATAGTGGACATGGTGGCACAGGCCTTTAATCCCAGCAATCTGGAGGCAGAGGCAGATGGATGTCTGTGAGTTCAAGGCCAGCCTGGTCTACAGAGTGAGTTCCAGGACACCCAGGTCAGCTAGGACTGTTACAAAGGGAAACCCTGTCAAGGACTCAGGCTGTCAACCCGCCTCTGTGTGACAGCAGACTGGGAAGCGGTCACCTAGGCACGTCCAAGTACTCTGCCACTATATCCCAGCCATTTTACTTTTTATTTTGAGACAGGATCTTGCTGAGGTGCCCGGACAGGCCTTGAATTTGCAATCCTCCTCCCCCAGCCTATGAGGCAGATTCCAAGTCTGCGCTGTATTTTATTGGTGATCATAGTGCCTCCTCTACAAGGTCCAGCAGTGACTGGGCGTGTGATGTGCAGCAGACACTGCCCTTCAGCAATTACCGCTCAGGGTTAAAGTGTAAACGTGGACCTGCCCTGCTTTGGGCCTGAGTGCCATCGGTCCAGGCTTCTGTTGCTATGGCAGCATGGGGTGCAGGGGCGATGACGGCTCGGCAGGCACCTGTACTCAAGCAGCCCGGGAACACCAGCCAGTGTCGGAACGAGAAAACCAACCACGCTGGCTGGAGAACAAAACAGGAATCGGGCTGTTGCTGGGTGCTGTGTGTCACTAGGTCCTGCATGGCTCCTACAGAGTCCCAGGTCACAGAGCAGCCCAGCTAACCACCCCTGAAAGGCCGGGGCTTTCCATTCCGAGGCAAACAAAACACATTCCCACCCACCCCCATTTTTTTTCTTTTTACTGTTCCCTGATAAGTATAAATGTCTGTTGCTGTATTACTGGCAAGAGAATAAACTGGGCTAAGTATGTAAACAGTCTAGGTGGATTGCTTGACCCTCGTGTTCTGGCCTTCAACCCAGCATTACCAATTTCAAAGAAAAGATGTTTCAGAGATTAAGATTAATTAAGAATTCTAATAAGAAATTCAAAGATTCACATTGTTATTTAAAAATGACACCTAGGGCTGGAGAGACGGCTCAGAGGTTAAGAGCATTGCCTGCTCTTCTAAAGGTCCTGAGTTCAATTCCCAGCAACCACATGGTGGCTCACAACCATCTGTAATGAGGTCTGGTGCCCTCTTCTTGCCTGCAGGCATACACACGGACAGAATATTGTATACATAATAAATAAATAAATAAATAATTTTAAAAAAATGGCATCTAATTTTATTTCATGATTTGAACGACCTTTAATTCGGTAAGAAGTGCAACAAGAAAAATCACTCTTAAATAAAAATTATACTCTAATAATTTAAATTTTTTTATCTTATATATGTATTTTTGTGGGAGGACAAGGCAGGCATGCCACCGATCAGAGGACAACTTGCAGGAGCCTTCGCCTTCCTGCATATGGGTGGACGGGATTGAATGCAGTCAGATCTGGCTGCAAGCACCTTTGCCCACTAAGCCATCTCGCCGGTCCCTACCAGCAGTTGCCCAGGACTGGTTTTTAACTATACCACTGAAAATCAGAAATAGGTTTTCTCATGGTGACCACACAATAGCTGAAAGAGATAAAAAGCAAGGAACTTGACATACGTGGATCTACTCTACATGGGGAGTAGAAAAAGACAAGATCTCCTGAGTAAATTGGGAGCATGGGGACCATGGGAGAGGGAGGGAAGAGGAAGGAAGGGGAGCAGAGAAAAATGTATAGCTCAATAAAATCAATTTTAAAAAAAAGCAAGGAACTTCAAAGGACAGATTTTTCTGCCTCTATATAAGGGGCAGTGGCAAGGAGCATGAAGTATCCTTTGCTGTCCACTAGGTGGCAACCCAACCCTGCAACTCTATTGGCTGTTAGCGTTTTAGAAGCTGCTTCTGCTGGAAAAGGATTTGAGATGTGCCTTGATCCTGGTACACACACACACACACACACACACACACACACACACGCACGCACGCACGCACGCACGCACGCACATACACACATTTTTTTTTCAGCAAATGTCATTTGTAGCTGGAGGCTGGTCTCTAGTAAACCTGAGTAGCTGTGAGTTCTTTGTTAGAACGCCTGCTCTTTTTGCCGCCAGTTCTGCGGAGCTGGAACTTCAGGTTGGTCTGTGTGCCCAAACACCGGCCTCTGGTACGCTATGCTGGCATTCAACCCACTGGCCTACATCCCCGGCTTCAAACATTCTGAAATACCCCTAGACGTGTTTCTACCAGAAAGTAGAAGTCTTAGCATAGAAAAAAAAAAAAAAAAAAAAAAAACCAGAAAACCGTGAATCTTAAGTATCAACTACATCCAGAATGTAATTATTTATGACCACCTTAACAGTATGAAATTTGCATTTGCCTTTGATAAATGGAAAAATTACATGTATACCAGAGAATTATTTGAAAATGAAACTCCTGGGCTGAAAAGATGTCTCAGTGGATGATGGATGGCACCTGCTACCAAGCATACATGATTGATTCCCCGGACCCACACAGGGGACAGAACTGACTCCTGAAGTTGTCCTGTGACCTCCACACATGAATACACTCACATACACACACATGCGTAGCACTTACTTACACACACACACACACACACACACAATAAGTGTAAATACATACATACACAATATAAGTGTAAATACATACATACACATACACACACAATATAAGTGTAAATAACAAAAGTTTTCCTTATAATTTATTATCAGTAAATGGGCACCTATTTCCTATACTATATACCTACAGTCACTTAAAATTTCTCAAGTGAGAGGGCAAAGTCAGAGGCCCTGGCACTGCTCAGCATCCTAAGAGCGCCTGTATTGGGAAGGACTGCCAGTACTGAGAGGCAAGCAAACCTGTTCTGAAGGAGAATGGCAAATCCTAAAGGACGGCAGGGGCTTTCCTCTAAGAAAAACATCTCCAACAACATTTTAAAGGCCTCAAAAACTCAGAAGTTATAAGTTGGTTTTAAATTTGGATTGACTTGTGTGTTATTGAGAAGACTTCAGGATAAAAAAAACACTTCTGCTATGGCTAACGGGAAACAAACCAAAAGGTGTTGGTCGGGGCTGCTAGGTTTTAAAATGCCCTCATGGTTGTTCCAAGGCTAAAGTTAGTTCCACAATTGCTGCTTCACCTGCTGACTAACTTTAGAAATAAAGAGGAAGGCCATGCACTGCAAGCCAAGTGAGATATGTCCATGGAAGCCACTGAAGTGTGTTAGTAATAATATGACATGGCCTTTACCTGAAATGTTTGTGAACAGAAGGTTTTAGTGCTGAGAGTTGGTTTTTGTTGTTGTTTGGCTTGGCCTGGAAATTGCTATGGAGACCAGGCTGGCCTCGAACTCACAACCATCTGCTTGCCTCTGCATCCAGAGTGCTGGGATTAAAGGTGTGCTCCACTAAGCCAGCATCTATTTTGTTTCAGCCTCACACAGCTGCACGCACCTTTAATCTTAGCACTCAAGAAGCAGAGGCGGGTGGACCTTATGTTTGAGGCTTAGCCTGGTCTTGATAGTGAGTTCTAGGCTAGCTAGGGCTACATGGTGAGATACTGTCTCAAAAAGAAAAAAAAAAAGTTCCAAATATTTACATATACATGTGATGAAACTATTTGGGGGCTGAAACTCAAGTCTAAACATGACATTCATGTTTCGTATATACCTTATGCACATAGCCTGAAGATGGCACGTGTAAATAGTTCTTTACATAAAACCAAGTGTCCTGTGAGGATGTGGAGCTAATCTTACACTGGTGGTGGCAGGTCAGTGTCAGAAACTTTCGGATTTTGGAGCATTTTAGACTCTGGATTTTGAGACTAGAGACACTTCATGGAAAACATAACTTGTGGTGACCTTAAGTGGGTCCGGAACAGAACTCTGAGGGGGCGGAGTGCAGGTGACTCACTAAGCTGTCACACCTTGCCTGTGCCACCCCACCTGGCTACGCCATGAGATCACCTACCCTACAGGCCGTCTGCAAACTCTCCAGTGTCTCCCAACCACACAGACATCCAACTGGGACCCATCTCTCCGAAGTTCTACAACCGCTCAAAACAGTGTCACCAGCAGGGACTTGGGTGTTCCAACACAGGAATCTTCGGGGAACCGTTTCTATCCAGATGCTAACCAGGCAACCCCATGGCAGGTCTGTCAAACACTCCCGCACTCCCTATAAGCTCTGTGACTCCTCTGCTTCATTTCCAGGGCACCACACACACCCACCTCCTCTTCAGTCTCCCTGCGCCCCTGCAGCTTGCCAACACAGGATGCTGAGTGCCTCTGGGGTGTTTCTGGAACTCCTCCCCCACTGGCATCCCCATGGCCATAGGCCCTTAAACAGGAGTGTCTTCCAGGACTGAACTGTTTTTCTTGCCTCTGGCTTCTTCCCAGGTAGCATCTACCACACCTGTCCCTACTCTGTGACTTAGACATACACCAGACTGCCTTCTTCCTGCCTCCGGGATGAGGTCCAGCCATCCTGCCTCCCCTACCTCTGGCAATCAAGCTTTCGAAACTCCCCAGACACACTATCTGCTCCCAGACTTCCGAGCCTCCAGCCTTTGTTCAGGCTGTCTCCTCTGCACGCCCCTCCCAGCCCAAGAACAGCAGCTCTGCCCAGGGCCCAGCAGGCTGCAAAGCTTGTCTAACCCCCAAGTGCACCTAAGGCCCAGGCATTCTGGGCACTTTATACTACTCTTTGGTAATGCTTTGATTCCCTTGGTTCTCCCTGACATACCCCTCGACACACAGAGGGTATCTGATAAAAATAATCCAGGGGACTGGAGCCTGTGACAGGAAACTCAGTTCTCGGAAGATCCTAATAGAACTAGAGACAGAGCCTACAGGAAGACAGTGTGGAGACACGAGGTCAGATCCCTAGAACCCGCGTTCAAGATGGGCATGCCTACAATCCCAGCACTTGGTAGGGGGACGGGAGACAGGCAGATTCCCTAAAGCTCACTGGTCGGGCAACCTGGCCAACTGGTGAGGCTAAAGACTCAAGAAGAGACTCTTGCTCAAAAAAATCAGGTGGAGAGTTACCAAGTGAAGTGGCGGCTTAGATTAATGCAGACAAATTGTGATATGTATTTGCACAACTTTAATGGAAAACCAGACTCACGAAACCAAGGTTCCAGTGGAGTACAAGAAACAGGAAGGGACCGGAGGCTTCTACAGTGCCCAATTTATCAGTAAACATTCGCCCGAGGCGAGCCCGCCCCCAATGGGCGGGCTTATCCCTACAACCAAGCAAGATGCCTGACATCAACCTCTGGCCTTTACATGTACCCACATCCACATGTGTGCGCGCACATACACTCACACTAAGGCACATACCTGTGCACACAAATACACATTTACCCACACTCACCCACAAACACACACATATACAAACACACACCCTCGCACACACATACCTGTGAACACACTCATACACACCTGTACACATACACTCACACACCTGTACACATTCTCTCTCCTCTCTCTCTCTGGAACAGGTATCACCCCCCCTCAGTACACACAGATTTGAAGAACTAAACTCAAATGCCACCACATCTGACCTTCCTGGTTCTCAATTTCCCTGGCGACTCAAGTGAGCACTGTACTTTCCATCTGCCTCCACGCACCAGGCGGCCCAGGATTCCGCGGAGGCCCGCCACTGTTTGGAGCTGTCATCTTCATGAGCACACACCAACCACCAGGAGGCACATCGAATGTCATCAGCACCGAGGAGCGGCCGCACAGAGCAGGGTGTTACACAGTCATACAAAAGCGTAAGAAGCAGAGTGGATTCCTAATTTCTTTTTGGGTTAGGATTCACGTGGATAACAGAAGTCGCTCTTCCCACATGAGGCAGAGAGGCTGATTGTGAACAGTGGGAAGGACGGATATGCCTGTATCTGTCACTCTGGAACCAGAAGCTAAGAAGCCAAATAAACTTCCGCTGAAACAAAAGCTAATCTATGGTTTTAACAGCTCAAATCAGTACTGAAAGTCCCGCAGGGGAAGGAGATGTATCTATTTTAGAAATAACTGCAGATCAACCACAAATTCAGCCCCATATAGCTGAGCGCTGTTCCGTTCCATACAAGTGCTGCGTATTAGCCAATTGCACTGCTGGACTCCCCACCGTATTTCAAAGTACAATGAAGAAAAGCTACAAGGGGCCGGCCAGGCACAGAGGTGCCGCAGGGACAGTAAGTTTACAAGCTTAAAGACAGCCCAGTCTGCACAGCAAGTTGCAGGCCAGCCAGAATTACGTAGCGAGACCTGCCACAAACAGAAATGAAGAGGAAGAAATAGCAGAAACAGAAAGACAAAGCTGGCTATGGGAAGATACGAAACAGAGACAAGGCCGGCGGCGTCCGTATCTAAACTGTAAGACCCAGCGAAGAGGAAAAGGGGAACTTGGGATGGGGTGACTAACGCAAGAATAGAGAAAACTCCCTTCCTCCCTGCCCCATGACCCCCACCTTCTCCATCCCCCACTAACTATTAAATGGCAAAAGGAGAGGAAGTGGGAAGGCAAGCTCAACCTATGGCAGAATCTCACAAGTTCAAGAAGCAGATCCCTGCAGTTCCAGAGGCAAGGACTCTACTCCCTGACTAAGAGAGAGAGGCTCGTGTTTCCCACCGGGAATATGTGGCAATAGCATGCCGAAAGTAAGGTCAACTAGAAAACACGTGGACTGTGTCCTGAATCTACACATGTTCAGGAAAAGGCCAGTCGAGGCTGAAGGGTAAGAATTAGACACACGTCCTAAATTCATCAGTGTCTGGATTTGCTGTTCATGAACCAGAGTTTCTTATCATTCCACATTATCAATGTCTGAAGTATAATCATATAACCCCTCTATGAATGAAAGCTGTCATAAATGTGCTCATTAGAGCTCTTACTACCTTTATGACTTTCCCCAACACACATACACCACATATTGTAAACATAATATTAATAATATTAATAATAATAATAATAATGATAAGCCAGGCGGGGGCAGGTGGATCTCTGTGAGTTTGAGGCCAGCCTGGTCTACAAAGCAAATTTCAGGACAGGCTCCAAAGCTACAGAGAAATCTTGTCTCAGAAAAAAAGAAAAGAAAAAAAAATAAATTATTAAAATAGTCATTTCAGAGCTGGGTTTGGATGCGCAAATATCAGCACTTGAGAGGCTGAGGCAGGAGGATTGCTCCAATTTTAAAACCAATCTGCCCGTGGACTGAGATCTAGTCTCAAGCAAGAGAGTAAGGAACGAGGCTCTTCCGTGCAGATCTGCCTTTCTGACTGCGGACTGTGACAGGACAGACTCCATCTTTGCCTTGGCTATACTGTGAACCCACGCACAATGGGTCACGAGGGAAGGGTCGAGCCGAGCGTGGACCGAGACGAGCCACGCTGGTGACCTTTCCTCTTTCTTACCAGTTTTATTTTAGAGGAAAGGTTTTCCGGCAGTTTTGTCTTCAGCTGACTTGTCTCCTTGAATGTTGGCGGGAATCCGCTCAGGAAGGCCAAGTCTTGCATCAGCACCAAGCCTGGGACTTCTTTGTCTGTCGTCTGAAATAAAAGGAAAAGATTCAGCTCGCCTTTCATCTCAGAGCTGGTGAAAACACGGCGGAGAAGCTGGTGTGTTTCTCCTGTGCTCGCTGAGCTTCAAGGTAAGAAGACACCGTAGCTGGACGCTCAGTGGCGCCAGGTTCTTAGGGAGCAAAGCGTGGCGGCTCAGGACTGCAATCCCAGTGTTCCCAGGGGCAGGCAGGAAGACTGCAAGTCCAAGGCCAGATGGGACGACATAGCAAAGACCTAATGAAAGCAGCTTTATTGTTCATACTTTTATTCTGGTCGAATGCAGAAGTACAATCAGATTTAAAATGACATACCAAGTAGGCTCGCCAAACTGTCTGCTTGCTGCTTCCCTTAAATAGTCCGGCATAGGCATCTTCCACTACAAGAAACAATGCAAGAAACAAACACACGTTTAACAAACGCGTATCTAACTCTCCCCCACAGAACACTACAACACAGCATTTGCGGAGCTGTTAAAGTAGCACAACACGTGGTTTCAAAAAAAATAGAGACGATACAATTAGCACATTCGACCAAGGAGGCATACTGTAAAGTGGTGTATAACTGAGCGTTAAAATCTGCACTGTCAAGAGATTTATGCAGGCGGCAGAAACGTGAGGTGCTTTGTGGGAAAACATAAACTGAAGCTGGACTCAGAGGAAGAGACGATGGGACGATAGAAAACTCACAGATGCAACAGCAAACCTGGGCCAGGTTTCTGTTTGACTGTGCTAAACCTCCGGGAATGTCACGACCAGCAAATGAGAGTAGTCAGACAAGGGAAGGGGGCGTGAACAACAGCAGAGGTGTTTACAGAAAAGCAAGCAGCTGCCTTAGAGCCACTAGAGTCGGTGGGCACACAGCCACAAGAGAAGTAAGAAGAGGGGACAAGCGGCTCAGCGAAGGTGCTGCTGACATCCAGAATGGAGAGAAACAGGAAGCTCGGGGTGCGGGCTCCCATTTGGATCTTCTGAAGGGACCTACAAATTATGGTCTGGGGAAGTCTCAAGCCGGTACCAACCGAGCTGGGGCTGTAGCTGTGGCTAGCAGGACAGCACCTGCTTAAGCGCACAGGGCCCTGGGAAACAGTCTGAAAGAAAGCAGGAGCGGTGGGTAGCTCGCTCTTCCTTAACCCTCATGAGGCCTAGGCAAGAGGACTGTCAAGAGTTCAATCCTAGCCTGCACACAGTGAACAGCAGACCAGCCAGGGCCATCCACAGTAGCCTATCTCAAAAGGCCGCCGCCACCACCAGCAACAACCCCACCCCTGAGAACAGCATGCAGCATGGACATTAGGAATGACTGTGACTTCCAAACATATCAGGTAACTGTCCCCACGGATTGTGGGTGATATGCTGGTAAATTGGAAAATTCTAGTAGGTCTGATATGTAGGATAGAACATGCATGTAATCTCATCAAATCGTCACAACATTCTCACGCCACCTCCATGTTTATGAGACAAAGAGAGATCCCACACCAAAGTTCTGGAAGAAACTGGAGCTGGGCGGTGGTGGCACATGCCCAGCACTCAGAAGGCAGAAGCAGGTGGATCTCTGAGTTTGAGGCCAATCTGGTCTACAAAGCAAGTTCTAGGACAGGCTCCAAAGCCACACAGAGAAACCCTGTCTCAATAAACAAAAACAAACAACCAAAAAAAAAGGACTAGGAAGCATATTTGTGAACTGTGTGGACAAACTGACAGTGATGTTGTGTCCCAGCTAGCAGACTAAGGACTCAAAGGTTCTGCCCACTTAGAGCAGTGCATCAAATGCGCAAATTACCATCTTCTACAAGCAAAGGTATCTGTAACTAGGCACCACAAGCCAATTCTACAAACAACCATCACGGGAGGTATTCACCAAAGACCGAGGTGGGCTGACCTTCAAAACGGGCAGAATCCAAATGTTTCTCACAGGCCATGCACTGAGCCATACTCACTTCTGTCTGGATTCCAACCATGTTTGTCCCTCCTGGGTTTGCACTCACTGCACACAGCTAACTGATTCCCATGGACCACAAGTCATACCAGCTCCAGTGATTCCCCCATCACACTGTGGGTCAAAGACTCTGGGTTCCACGTGGCTACTGTGACCCGCTCTCTCCCAGTTCTCTGGTCTCATCTTTTGTTTTCTCTTGTCCACTCTCTTTCGCTCACTCTGGCCTCCTGCTCCTCAAACACAGCAGCTACGTTCCTGTTCCTACTGCAGGGCTCTGCCCTAGCTACTCCAACTCCCTGATAGGCCTTTCTCCGGTCATTCATGTTGCTGGCACCCTAACCTTCTATATATTTCATTTAAAAAGAAAATCACCCCTTCTTGAAGCCTGTCCCCACCAATTTAGAAAGCTTACCCCCTACTCGAAGCCTGCCCCACCACTCAAATGTTCACCCCTTTCCTGACTGCCATTTCCTTTTCCATGCCCCCATCCGGTTTTTCTCTACTGTGTTCTTTTCTACAAAGTATGTAATTTACTTATTTGTTAATTATTTGCCAATTCAGGGCAGAGAATACGGCCACCTGTTCGTGCGCCTTGTCTCTGTCACTGAGGACAGTACCTGGCATACTGTTAAGTGGGTAGGCCTGCTTTACCTGCAGAGCGAGCCACAGGAAGTACAAAGGTCATACCCAGCTTACACATTGTTAAGTTTTTATGCTGATGATCATATACAGGGTGCACGCTAGACAAGGGCTCTACCCCCAAGCGATACCCACAGCCCAGTGAACATCCTGTAAGAACTAAGGGATCAAGAATGAAAGGAATACCCCATGGGGAAGGGATTACACCCCCTAGCCACTGGACACACGTTATACCTGTGTATAAAAATAGAGCTATTTGCGGTTTTGTTCTAAAGGCCTGTTTAGTTCGGAGGTAACGTGAATCGCCCTATAACGGTGTCATTTCTCGTAAACTGAGGGATGTTAGTGTGACTGGAAAAGCCACCTTGGAGTCCTGGAACCAGGCTGCGGGGTTGGGCTAGGTGACGGCTAGTTGCTCCTCTCATCTGAAGGGAAGGGAAGAAGCTTGCATTCAGAAAGCTCACAGTTTCCTTCGACCTAAAAATAACGTCAGAGCCGGGAGCAGCATTTTGGCATGTTTTGTGACTTAAGCCGCTGTGTGGCAAAGTTCTGTCTCAGTCAATAAATCACATGGGAAACCATAAATCCCTTTGTCATTTCATATAAATTATGAGTTATAGCACAAACACCATGGAGCTAGCAAAGAAAAGACACGTGCATCGTGGATGCCCTCGTTCTCCCACCGAGGAGATAGATGGGGAAGAACAGAAGATGGTGAAGAGGCGGCTGTGGCGTTAGCCATGGTCCACCACCTGCAGCGATCACTGGCAGCTGACGGACGATGAGAGATTACAGGGGAGAGAATGAAGGGCACAGCCAAGCTGAACCTGCGACCCCAGGGACAGGAAGGAGCTCACATCCGTATGAAAAGCAAATACATGTCACTGAAGTACGGTCTTCTAAGAGACAGTGAATCAACGAGATCTGGATTTTCAGATTTACTCGCCAGCTAGGTGGAAAACTTTACAGACAGACAGAACAGCTGGGTGTCTGTGAAGGAACTGGAATGAACAGGGGAAGAACCTAAGACCTTTTCATTGGCAAAATAAAAGCAAATAATAGGATGAGGTTAGTTATTAGTTTACAAAGTAAGAAGCAGGGAAGGGGCAAAGATGCTGCCAAAAAGCGAGGCTGAGACATGTGATATGGACAAAATACTCCCTCTCCCCATATCATGGAAGGAGCCCAACAACTTTCACAGTACCCACGTAAAATTCACAGCGTCTCCAGGTAGAGAGGCCCAGAGCGCAGGATGACTGAGAGACCAGAGCTGTTCACACATGTGGCCTTAGCAGTCATGTCTTAGCACAGGGACAGATTCCAAGAGCCACCCAATGTCTTACAAACAGCAGATGGGGCTGCCTCACAGTTCTGGAGGCCGGAAGAGCAAGGACAGGGGCCAGAAGGGCAAGGGCAGGGTCTACCAAGTTGATTCTTCCCAACTGTAGTGAGAGGCACCTTGTCAACTCCCTGGGGGGGGGGGGGAACGGAGCCTGCAGTATTATAAAAATATAATACTACTCATGAAGTCTGCGATATCATAAAAATCCCACTCAAGTCTTAACCTCCGTGCCCTCATCACCTCCCAAAGGAGAAACCTCCTGTGCCATCCCACTGGGAGTTCAGATTTCGCGTGTGAAGCAGAAGGAAGACAAGCCATTTCTGAAGACAGACCAAGAACGCTCCAGTGTGTTCTGTCCAAATTGTAGAACACGATCTCATCGAGTTATATTGTTAAAATAACAAACAACAACAACCAGCCTCCAGGATGATGTTGTGCCAGGAGACAGAGGTGGAGGCATTTTCTGTACAGTAGACCGAAGATCCTCACAGGAACTCAGAGAACTCCTGAGATGGCAGGCGGCTCACAGGGCAATGCGACAATGGCTCTGGGGGTTTTCCCTGGACATCTTTAGTTTATAGGACGGTTCTTAAAAGCTGAACCACTGCTTCGTTCAGAATTCTGCTATTCTGAATATCGATGATAGCATGGTTTAAATAGACACTCAGAGCTGGGCATAGCAATGTACCTTCGATCTCACACACCTTTCATCTCAGGAGGCAGAGACAGGTGGATCTCAGAATCTGAGGTCAATTGGGTCTATATAGTGAATTCCAGGACAGTCGGGGCTACATAAGAGACCCTGCCCCAACAATTAAACTCCCAATAATAATACTAATAATAAATACACATGGGCTGGAGAGATGGCTCAGCAGTCAAGAGCACTTGTTGCTCTATTGTCGGCTCAGCTCCTCGGACCCACATAGCAGCTCACAACTCCCTACAGCTCCATTTCCAGGGGATCTAACACCCTCTCCTGGCCTCCAGGGATGAAGAGTACAGACATACATGCAGAAGACACTCAGACACACAAAATAATAAATCTTTAAAAAAAAACACATAGGAAAGAAATCTTACCATCCTTAGTACTGTCAAAAACAACTACAGACACATTAGTAGAAGGGTTTTTTGGTTTTGCAACGTTGAACATGTCGCTGGCGGCGTGGAAAGATGGATAAAGAGATGGCAGGTCTTTCAGGGTGCTGTTGGCTGGCAAGGGCGGGTCCAGAACGAGCATGGGCACCTTGATGCAGTGGGTCAGCAGACACTCCAACTGCTTCTCGCTGCAGAGACAAGAACATCACCAAGGAAAAGCTTGAGGCCACTGCTAGATGGGGGGAGGGGTTTTTACAATCCCATAACCCATATCTATAAAATTCATACAATAAATTAGTTCATCTCAAAAATGCTAAAATTATTTTAAGTATGGAATAAAAAAATAAGACATTTTAAACATACAGTGTTCAAGCTTCTATTATAAGAGTACCACTCAAGTGTGATACCTCATATTTGACGAATAAGGTAAGAGAATCAATTATGAATTCTAGGTCAGTGAAATCATGTCTCATACGTAAGTCAATTGAAGCCCCTTGTTAGCATACTTGGAAAGAGATTTTGGCTAACAGTATCCTGTTACTGGATACAATTTGCCCAGCCCAGTTAGAACAATATGAGCAACTCAGGACGTCACACGACACAAATGGACAAGGATAGCATGCTTCCGGTGTCACCACATAGGGGGCTTTCTGTCTGAAAAGACACCCCTTTAAAGAGTACCCGAGTAAAAGCCATAGTCACAGAACATGGCTAGAAAGCTCACAAAGTGGGACTCACAGATAGTGCAGTGGTGTGTAAAACCGTTCAACCGTCTTAGCTAATAATCAAAGAAGTGCAAGAGAAAGCAACTGTCACCCCGTTTGTTCACTTAGCACCCCTCAAAAATGGTGACTGTTAATCCAAACACTGTAAATCTGTCCCTCTCAAATATACTTGGCCTCACAGCTCATAGAGCCACACTGTGGTACTACATACACACTATATACTTATAACACATATACATACACATATACTTATACCGTGCCTGCCCACTATACTGAGGTAGGAAGCATGAAAATACCGCGTCAACGCAGGAGTTAAGAAGCAGGAAACCACAGGCTACGGCTGACAGCTGTGAGCTGAGTGCAGCCGCACACTCCTACAACCCGGCCCTTGAGCAAGAGGCAGCAGGAGCAGATCAAGGCATTCTCAGCTGCGCAGGGAGTGTGAAGGCTAGCTTGGGCTAGGTGAGAGCTTCTTTCCAAAATTAAAAACGAGAAAAAAGACGGTAGAGGATCACCTCCACAGACAACCTCTTTAAAGTGGAAAAGAAGCCGTGAAGACGTTTCTGCTTGTCCACCAGAACTGTTTTATGAACTCATCAGAGCCAAGCATGATTGAAACCAATACGTCTAGCGGGACAGATGTACCTGGTTCTTGTCACTGGGCTAAATCCCCTTCCAGGTCCTTAAATATATACAATCTGACAGCTTCCAAAGATAAGGAGAGATTACAAATGGACAAATAGATGATGGGCACAAATTTTATAGTCAAAACACAGGGTATAATTAGTTTGAAGAGGCCAAGAGAACAATGCATCAAGACAGATAAATGAGTACTCCGGGCTTGCCAAAAACAAGCAGGATTTGGTTGGCTTGAATGCAAAAACCTGCGCGCTCACTCAGCCATGCTGTTTAGCACTGCAAATTCTCTTTAATGGATGCACTTAATCGGGGTGTCAAAAATAGCAGGGGTGGGGCTGAATACGGGCAAATACAAAACAAAACCGTCTACACCCACAAGTGACGACTTGACGCTTCGTTTCCAGCCTTCGAGCTTTATTCCTGAGAAGATACCCTTACCTCTTCTTCGTTGGTTCTGTCGTGTTCTTCCCCAGGATTTCCCTAATAAAAAGCAAACACAGTTTGTGACACAGGCATCAGCTGGTGCTAGCCCAAGATGTGAACAAGGAAGAGTTAACAACGTTGCCTTTCTTGGTGACTTCACTGGAACCAATCTGCCAATAGGAAGGGTTACAATGCTTATGGCAGAGGGAAGGCGTTGACGTGTGTGGTGCAGAGGACGGCTAACTGGAAAGTACTGGTGACATTTATAGAGAAATGAGTGGGGGGGGGGGCGCTTAGCAAATCTTCCAGGTAAGAGAGAGGGAACAGCGAGCCGGCTGTGAGTGATCACTTTGCCCACCCCTCTGACGTACACCTACGTGAGCTCAAGGCGCACGCGGGCTTCTTTGTAAGCGGAATTACCTCATCGCCTTCTGCTCTTCCTCCAGCTGTTCTCGGACCTGCTGGAGCTCCTTCAGCAGTTCAAGGTCTGTGCCATTCACCCAGGTGTAAACCACGTCGATCGGCATGGGCAGACAGAGCCTAGGGCAAACCCACAAGTCCGCTAGCTTAATGTATGCTTTCCAGAACATTTGGGGAAAAGATTATAACAGAACTTATATTTGAGATTTTAAATTTAAACCAAGTGGTGGTGGTGTAGGCCTTTAATCCCAACACTTGGGAAGCAGAGGCAGGTGGATCTCAGTTCGAGGCCAGCCTGGTCTATAGAGCGAGTTCCAGGATAGCCATGGCCACACAGAGAAACCCTGTCTCAAACAAAACAAAAAACATTAAAACAAACCAACAAAAACATGTTTAAATTTAGAAATCACCACAGACAGTCAACAAAAAGGTCAGAGAGCTATGGCATACCCATTCAACAGAACCATGTGATGTCCTGGGGCCACGGCTGGGAGAGGGGTATCTTCTGGACACCATCCCTGCGAACCGCATTGTTAGGAACCCCATGAAATCTCTATCCTTTGATCCTCACAACCTCCCTGTAAAGAGACTGACACCTGTCCTGGAACTAGCTCTTGTAGACCAGGCTGCCCTCAAACTCACAGAGATCCCCCTGCCTCTGCCTCCTGTGTGCTGGGATTAAGTGTGCACCACTGTACCTTTCCTTTTTAAAGATTCTGAGGGTGGGGGGGCGCACTATCTAGATGGCTCAGCGAATTGAAAGTGCTTGCTGCACAAACCTAAGACGGAGTTCAGTCCCTGAGAAGGCAAAGAGAACTAACTCCCGGAGTTACCCCCTGACCTCCACAGGTGCACCGGGCACATCACCCCCACCCTCATACACTCATACACACACAGTAACGACAAGAGCAACAATAATCAAAGATTAATGGAGGAGAATCTGAGACAAAAGTGGTTCCTCAGAGGCCTGAGGGTCCCAGTGGAGCAGGGAGAGCCTGATCATCAGGAGTGGAGGACGGCAGTTCTGGAACTAGCCGGTCACGACAGGCGCTCCACATCGTGGAGACACTTGCTTCTCTCTACCACACACTTTAGAAATGGCTACGATGCTGAGTTCCCTGCTACGGTATGTTTTGCTACAGGAAGAAAATGTCGAGCAGACTGGGAATTATGGTGGTCTGGGAGTAGAGGACGAAGTCTTACACCTCGGTTTAGATAATTGACGGCTCACACATTCCACAAATGCACGATCAGCCGGGTCACGTGGCCAGATAAAGAGCTGGACTCAGAAGCTGACAGAGTAAAACATAGCGACATTGTTGGAGTCCAGGATGGTCTGGACCCAGCAGAGCCTCCGCCTTCCTGCTCAGATGGAAGTCGTAAATCCTGCTCCCTCTTCTCTTCCTTTGTTCCAGAGCCCTTGACCTCCTCCTAACACGTTAGATGACTATCTGCTGACTCTCCCATTGGTTACACGTGCCCTTCCTGTGGAGGTAAGCGCCAAGGAGGCAGGAGACCTCACTTTGTTTCCCAAAGCATGAGACGGTGTGGCACCTGGCAAAGAGGGCCGACCGTGTGGGTGAGACACAGGGGTGGTCCTTTTCCCCATCAACCTGCTCTTATTTTTTTTAAAGGTCTTGGAGAGAGCAGGGAAACAAGGAACATACCTAAACATAATAAAGACAGTATACAGCAAGCCAACAGCCAATATCAAACTAAATGGAGAGAAACCCCGAGCGATCCCACTGAAATCAGGAACAAGACAAGGCTGTCCACTCTCCATCTCTAGTCAGCATAGTTCTTGAGGTCCTGGCTAGAACACTAAGACACCAAAGGGAGCTCAAGGGGATCCAAATCGGAAAAGAAGTCAAACTCTCACAATTTGCTGATGATATGATGGCTTACATAAGTGATCCCCCAAAATTCTACCAAGGAACTTCTACAACTCATAAATACCTTCAGTAATGTAGCAGGATACAAGATTAACTGCCCCATCTGCAAAGCCATTCAAGCCACCGTGCCGTCCCCACTATGAATCAAGAGCCCAAAACAAGCCTTTACAACCTTTAGCTGCTTTTTGTAAGGTGTCTGATCACAGCAACGACGAAACACAGTGTCCTTCTAGTCTTTTTGCTGCCCAGGTGCACGATTAGGCTTCTGGTTGCAACTACATTTTTTTAAAATCATGGATTAATTATCTCATGGGAAAATAAATAAGAGTGACCCCACCTTTTCCTTGAAAGACATGGGCAAGCAATTGGTGGCACATGCCTGTCATTACAAAACTCTCAGGAGGCCCAAGATGGGAGGAGCCTGGGACAGCCTGGGTTATAGTGAGCCTGTCCCCCACCACAGCCCCCAAAAGATGAGGTACTTATATGCTAGATGAGTAAAAACAGGAAGTAAATGAAATAGATGTGAAGTCTGAGATGTTAAATGTCGCAGAAAATAACAGAAAAGGGGGTTAGAAACCATGTCTGTGTAGGACCATTGTCATCTGTGCCAGAGACAGCCTTAGTGAGGAACTGGCTTCGGGGAGGAATGGGGCCCAGAGGCAGAGTGTGAAAAAGGGGCTGAGAAGATGGCCTAGTAGAGAAAAGGTGGAGTGTAGAGATGGGGCAGTTTGGAAGTGGAGGAGGAGACACTGGGGAAAGGCACCCTGGTGTGCCCCAGCTTTGTCCTGAGAAGGACAGTGGTGAAGCCCAGATTGTACCTGGGGCGGTGGTGACTCTTCACACGCATCCTCCTTTCCCCGACAAAGCTGTGGGACCGTCCTTCTCAGGGCATCTGCTTGCGGACCCTCACCGTTAGGGTTAAGAACTTGCAGGAAGCTTGCACCCTTCCTTTCCCTTTAGGCACTTCCTCCCCAGTCCTCTCTTCCTCTTTAGCCTGCTCTTCTCAGAACTCACAACAAGACTCTCCCACAGCACTGGACACAGAGACACTAGTCTAGCTTCAGCTCCTTTCCCCTACCTCCTTTAACTTAACCTTTATCTACCTTTGCCTAGGGGCTTTTTACTTCTTCCTTCTGTGTCTTACTTTCACTGCTTCTCAGTCCAGCTGTGTGGAAGCTGCCTGGCTTCTTGTCCCAGGGTGTGTCCCTATGGAGTCTAGATTCCTCTGGTTTCTTTTGCCGGCCCGCCTATCTTTTCTCCTGCCCACCTGCCGTTTGGATCTTTATTAGACCATTCAGTGCCTTAGGCGGGCAAGGTGAAAGAAATACAACAAACACATCTTTACAGTTAAAAAAAAATGCAGAGCAAACAAAAGTAACACATCTTTTCACAATTAAAGTCAGATCCTGCAGCACAAACAAAAGTAACACATCTTTTCACAATTAAAGTCAGATCCCACAGCACAAACAAATGTAACTCATCTATGCCTAGCTAAAATATTATTCTACAACAGCAGGTTTCTCTGTGTCACCCTGGCTGTCCTGGAACTCACAGAGATCCGCCTGCCTCTCCTCCTGAGTGCTGGGATTAAAGGCGTGAGCCACCACCGCCTGGTTTTGAAGGGATTCTTAGTACACTGTACTTTTACTAGGTGTGCAGCACACCTTCCAGAGACAGACAGCATCTGGGCAACAGAACTCTGCCTCCTGTGCCCTGCTCTGCTGGTCATTCATTTTCTCTCCTCCATCTCCAGGCTCTCTCCCCACCACAACAATATTCAAACGCCACCCTCCCCCCCCCCCCCGCCCCAGGTTTTTCCTGTGCATGCCTTGCAATGGTTCTCAAGCAGCTACACTGAGGACTTTAAATGGAGTTTCTAAATGCACAGGTCTAAAGTGGGACCTCAGAATGCTCATTCCTAAGAGGCTCTCGGCTAGTGCTGACGCTGCCATTAGGGAGGCTATACTCTGAGAACAGCTGCCCCTGTAATTGAACTTCATGGTTCCCTTCTATAGTCCTACAGGTGAGATTAATGAATTTACCTTGTTCACCACTGTTTGCCTAATACATATTATAGTTAGATAAATAATTTGACTAGAAATTTTTTTACTATCATTATTATTACTATTACTATAATGTGTACGGATGTTTGGCCTATTTGTATGTCGATGTGCCCTCTGTGTGCCCAGGGCCTGCAGAGACTAGAAAGGGGCACTGGATCCCATGGAAATAAAGTCACAGACAAGTGTGAGCTGCCATTCGGATGCTGGAAATCAAACCCCCATCTTCTGGAAGAGTAATCGGTGCTCTTAACCACTGAGCCGCCTCTCCAGCCGCAATAACTACAATGTCTTCAGCACATGTGTGAATATCTAATATCTGACTCAGTATACCCATATACTAATTATTCAAGATCACTCTAAGTCACAGCCTCCCTAGTGGCCTCTATTCAGACTAAAATTCCTTGTTTTGGTGTGAATGTGTGTACTGCGCTGTGTTGGGTGGGAGCTTGTTTCTTTGTAGCAGTGAGGGCATGCGGTCATGTGCAGAGGGCAGGGGACAGCTCTGAGGACTCAGTTCTCACCGATCCACTGAGTTTGAGACAAGATTTGTTTCTCTGTGACTGTGTACCCCAGGCTAGCTGATCTGATTCCCCTGCCTCTGCCTCCCATCTCCACTTCGGGGTATCCTGGGATTACAGACACAATACTGCGTCTGACTCTTACATGATCTTTGGGCAACTAAACTCGAGTGGTCAGGCTTGCATGACAAGCATTTATACCCTAAAGATATAAAATAAAAATAATAATATTGAGAAAAAGAAAAAGAAACCTGCTTGAGTCAAGACAGTTTCCGAAGAAAGCGTGGGAAGGGGTGGAAGTGGGGTGCACATTCTGAAGCTTTCCTGGCAAAGCAATGTCTTATTCTTAATGGGTTTTAATAGAATCCAGAGATCCAGGTAAACGTTCAGCTGAAGAAAGCAACTCAAGTCCTAAGTCATCCACACACTGGCGCTCTTCAAATGAGCCTGTTATCACATGCCCAGCTTAACTCACGGGCTGGATTTAAAACCCAGAAAGACCGCATGATCAGCTCATGGTCATGAGTCAGTTGTTTTTCCGCCAAGCATGGTTGTGATGAGTCTGAGCCTTTAGCTCCGACCGCTAGACCATGATCTTGGTTTCCAGAGGAGAAAGAAGCCTGGGACTCAGAACAAAAGTGAAACAATTTGTATATAAACCACTAGCTAAAGGTAACCTTTAAAGTCATTTAACAGACCTTAGTTCTACGGTACCGGGGGGAGGGGGGGGGCTGTAGGGGGGAGGCGGACAAACCACAGAACTAAAATAGTTAGGATTTACACACAGTTTAATACCCACGTTTTATGCGTAATGAATGGCTGCCTGGAAATCACTAGCAGTGGGTGATCTCCATGTCTGCTTGTGACTACCACAGACACTAGGATTTCCCTTTTCTTCAGAGCAAATGACACTAATAAAAACTGCACAAAAACTAACAAGAGATTAGAAGCTTTCATTAAATATGACATCGCTCGGTGCAGTCTAAACAGGTAATAACGTTAGTCACAAGGATTTTAGTCTGCAATCCTAGCACTTGGGAGGCTGAGGCAAGATTCTGAAAGCAGGGCAAGACTGGGCTACAAGGTGAGATCTGATTCCCCAAGGCAATGGGCCCTACCCTGTCTGCGGAGTGGATGGGGGTGGAGATGGGGTGGGGAGGGGATGGGAGAGAACTGGGATTGATGTGTAAAATGATAAAAGAGAGTTTGCTTTCTGTATAAAATAAAATATCTCTGTGAGTTCAAGACCAGCCCGGTCTACAAAGCTAGTTCCAGGACAGGCTCCAAAGCCACAGAGAAACCCTGTCTCGAAAAAAAATAAATAATAATAATAATAATAATAATAATAATAATAATAATAATAATAAATAACCAAGATAAATAAATAAGCAAATTCTTTAGGGAGCTGGGTGTGGTGGTGCACATCTTTAATCCCAGCACTCAGGAGGTAGAGGATCCCTTGTCTTTGAGGCTAGCCTGGTTCACACAGCAAGTTCTAGGCCAGCCAGAGCTACCCCCTGCTCCTCCCCACCTCCCTTGCCCTGGGGTTTACAGGTATGGACCTGGCTATTTGACCCAGGTGCTGGGGATCACTCTGGGTCCTTGTGCTTGCTTGCAAGCACTTTACCAACAGATCCATCTCTAAGACCCAGAAACCGCGTTCTCTAGGCAACAACAACAGCAAAATTCACTGCGATTCTGACGATCTCTCTTATGCTCATCTTACAGCTTCGGGTTTCCATCTATCTAGCCAACCAAAGGGGAAAGGGTTTTGAAGGAAACGTCCACTCACAGGGACATGAGGGGCCAGGCATTTTCTAACAGCCTTTACAGGCAATAGTTTATATTCTCTGATGCTAAAACACAAAATCAGCCATAGTGACTTCAGGGTTAGCTGCAGCGAGGAATCTGAAAACACACAAGGAACCTCTGGGGCTTTTTCATTAAAACCCATTGACCTTTCTTGCACCTTGAACGGCCCAATCACTAAGGCAAGATTCTGCAGCATCACACCCTGGAAAACCACAGCTTGAATAGTCACGTGGATCTGCCAAATGTTAACACATTTAATAACCTTCTTACGTAATGTTAACAAACGTGACTTGGGAGATGAGGCCAAACCTAATCACAAAAGCATCATGATGCTGTTACTGTCACTGTGCTGGAAGCAAGGTCTAGACGCCCGAAAATTCAAATGTTACCATTACCAACAAATATTGTTACTTACTTTCCTTGAAATGACAAGACCATGTTCACTGACAAATAAATAAATATATGAATAAACAAAAAACAAACAGATAAATAAATCTGAGGAATCCCACTCTTGCTTGTCCTATCAAGCAACAAGAGTTACCATGAAAAAGATGTCTCGTTGATGGCCCCATCCCTTGCTTATCACTGGGAGAACTTGTCAGGACAATGCAGGAGAGCGCTCCCCGGTGGTGAGAACAGGGAAGAACTGACAGGCTGACCAGGATTATGAGTTGCCCACCCCAACATCCACCCCATCTGTGATCTCCAACCACCTGTGAAGGGACCCACGGTGGGCCGACCCAAGGCTTCAGGGTCTCCACAGCACAGAGCAACAACAGGATACTGAAGAGGAGTTTCCAGTGAGGGCCCAGCATCAATAGTGTAGCAGAAACCAGAGCCTCAAACCAAACAATGACTCTCTGCAACGAGCACTTGTAAGTAAAGATGTGCAGACAAGAGGGTTTACTGCGTGACTCGCTGTATCACACCGCAGCTTCCACGGCGAGATTTTTTTCCTTCTCTCTCTTTTCCCTCTTAAACTTTACTTATTTTCTTTTATTTTGGGAGGGAGGTTGCAAGGGCAGAGGTGGATACGAAGGGACAGGGAAATGAATGGAATGGAGATGCCTGGTGTGAAAGACACGAAGAATAAAAAGATAGAAGAATTAAAAAAAAAAAAGATGGCTAGTTGAACTTGTGACTCAGTGGCCCCATGGTTTTTACGTGAGCAAATACCATGTTGTTTGCATGAGCATCGCCTAGGACAGTGGTTCTTAGCCTTCCTAACGCTGCGACCCTTTCATACGGTTCCTCATGTTGTGGTGACCCCAACCATAAAATTGCCACTTTATAACTGTCGTTTGCTACTGTCATGAATAGTAATGTAAATATTTGACAGGCAGGATATCTGATATGCGACCCCCCCAAAGGGGTCGTGACCCACAGGTATTAAAACAATGTATCCCCGAGGATCAACATGTAACAGGCGAACACCCTTTACTGCCTTACCCTGAGCATTTACAAACAGAGCCATCCTGTCTGTTCCCTTTAAGCAATGCAGAAATGACAGGTCAGGGTGTGAGCAATCCCACACACGACTCATCGATGCATAATTTAAAAAAACAAATAAGATACAAATATTTGTTATAAAAAAAATCTTGTATTTCACAGAGCCCGAGGCCTTGGGAAGGCTGAGTGTCTGAAAAGCGCTGTTTTGAAGACCCTGCGGGATGGCTGTCCTTCGCTTTGATGACAGGCTGTCTGCCTCCCTACTCACCGCTAACACAGATACACACAACTCCATGTCTAGAGAGTCGATCTCTGTGAAAGGGACACCACGGACGGAGTAGAGACCAAAGCAAAGAGTGAAAGCCTGGGCTGGAGCTGTGCCGGCTCGGATGCCCGGCGCCTGTGTAAATACCAGGCCGCGGCAACACACCTGCTGTCTCAGGAGGTGGAGACAGGCGCTATCTATCACTGGTGAGTAACGCTGGTGTGTTCACCAGCCAGCCACACGCCAAACCGGCAAGCTCCACGTCAGTGAGACCTCGTCTCCAAAAGAATGAAAGAAAGAAAGGGAGGGAGGGAGGGAGGGAGCAGCAAAGACGTTCAGTACTGACCTCCAGCCTGTGTGCATGCGCACATGCATACACACACAGAAACACATGCACGCACACACACACACCACAGACACACATTGCTGTAATGATATAAAATGTTTTATTTGGGCTGGAGAGTTGGCTTAGCAGTTTGTTTTTTTGTTTTGTTTTGTTTTGTTTTTTGTTTGTTTGTTTTTTGTAGAACTGGGTTCGGTTCCCAGCATCCACCTCAGGCAGCACCTGTACAGACAACCACATGAAACTCCAGTTTCGGAGAATCTGTCGCCCTCTTCTGGTCTCCATGGGCACCCACATGCAACAGCCACATACAAACACATAATTAAAAACAAAATAAATATTTAAAATAAGTAATAGTTTTCTAGAGAGAAAAAAGACCTACATGATTCATTTTCTCTGTAAGAAGAGACACGGGATAAGGGGGTGATTGCTTCTATTCTGAGGCCTGGCTTATGAAAGAGAAAAATCTCCGAGGGTAAAAATAAAGAAAGCATTTCACCAGGAAGTTTCACCTCAGCCGAGGAGAACCCAGCACGGAGGCTGTGGGTACCTCAGGGGCAGCAACATGTGATGACCAGGTGCCAGCTCCAGCCCAGCAGTCACCACGGTAGTGGCTGCGTGGACAGAGTGCTGCTGCTCTGGCCAGCTCTCACAGCGGGCTGTGTAGTGGTGACCTAGCTTCCTGTGAGGGATGAAAGCTCCAGTACCTCACGGAACTGGACAGAGAAAACTAGTCCTTACAACTCAGTCTACTCGGCCCGCAAGCAAAATTCATTTTTTCTTTTCTTTTCTTTTCTTCTTTCCTTTCCTTCCTTTTCCCTTTACTTTACTTTACTTTACTTTACTTTACTTTACTTTTTTTCCCAAGACAGGGTTTCTCTGTAGTTTTGGAGCCTGTCCTGGAACTTGCTCTGTAGATCAGGCTGGTCTCGAACTCACAGAGACCCGTCTTCCTCTGTCTCCTGAGTGCTGGGATTAAAGGCGTGCGCCACCACCGTCCAGAGCATGATTATTTCTTAGAGATCAAAAATTTTCACCTACAAAATAGGGTGAACTAGATGGTTTCTACACGTGGGTGTATTTATTCTGAAATATACAAGACCATACACATGTGAACTGAGATTCCTAGAACAAAGCCACACTTCTGTTAAAGATTCTACACGGATAACTGACCGCTTAGAGCCATCTGATTACAGAGAGTTAGAACGCTGCAGATGCACAGCCAAATTCACTTGGGCTATTTTTAATATCTTTAATATCTTTTAATAGCCATTCAGTGCTCACTTGAGTGTCAGAGCTGAGGTCCTTGCCACCACCAAGTGAGAAACACTCAAATGTATTAAGAAACACTAGCTCCCACCAACCCAGAAGTTAGGAATGGCGCCATCAGAACCTGTAGCAGAGATCCCCCCAGTCTGCTGGAACCCACTTTCCTGATGTTGCCATCAAAGTTTAAGAAACACATTTATGATTGTCTTTTGCTGCATAACTACAAAGACTTCATAAACCCATTTCCACATAGGAACACGTGACTGCACAATGCGGATCCATGTTCCCAGCCACACACATTGCCTCAAAAAATAAATTATTTCTTATTCCCTTGCAGGTGAGAGACGCGTTTCGTCCTGACAGAAGCAGCCTGACCAGGTCTCTTTAAACGGCCACCATATTTAAAACAAGAAGAAATCCACGGCTTACTCTTTAAATTCAAATAACAAACTACAAAAGAACTCTCACCGATTCTGAAAGGATTTCCCAGCAATATTGTCTCTGTAGGAATCAAACAAAACGTGGTATTGATCCCGGCTCCATTCCAGAACCACCTAGAATAAAAAGAAAGAGAAAAACACCAATGCTTTCTGTGTATCAAAAACCAACAGTTCAATACAAAAGTTAGTTCACACGAGAAACTGCTGTAGAAGCCAATGAGAGATGAGCTTGAGGTGTCAGCTGTCAAGAGATCAGACAGCCTGGGTGCTGGGAGGGTATTAAGTGTTTTCCCTGTTGTTAAATACGTGAGTCTGCTGTAAGCCTTCTACCCGACTCCAGCGGCTGTGGTCGTTGACGTGGCGCCTTTTCACCCCCACCCCAACGTTAGGACCCAGCTCGTGGCTAGTGGGTTGCCTAGAAGATGCAGCAGGTGGGAGGGAGGGCACACAGCCTCACCAAGGGAAGCTCAGGTGATAAGTTTTATCTTCCCTCCCTGTGTTGGCTCACACCAGAATATCCAACTTCGCCAATTTCAGGGCGCTCTGATGTATTAGTAAAACAATCCCTTCCCCCCCCCCCCGCCCCCCAGTTCAATCCAGCCGCTCACTCCCTTCTCTGCCCTAAGGAATTTGTATCTTGACTGCTGACTTGGAAATTACCGCCACTGTCTGCAGTACTCCATGCCTTACTGTTAGCTTTGTTGTCTTTATCTTTAAAAAAATATTATTTCTTTTTTCCTGCATGTATGTCTGCACACCACATGCATGTAGAGCCTGTGGAGGCCAGGAAAGGACATCAGATCCCTTGTGCCCGGAGTCACAGACAGTTGTAAGCTGTTACATGGGTGCTGGGAACCGAACCTAGGTCCCCTGGAAGAATGTTGCGCCACCGCTACAGTCCCAGCCTTGTTCCTCATTTTACCTTTTCTCCTGTGCTAGCCAGGCGTGTTAGACAGCTTACTAAACGGGGCACAGCTTCTGAAACCTTCATGATTGTAATGGCGAGATACTTACAATATTATAGGGCACTAACGCAAATTAAAACCTGATACGGAGGGGCTGGAGACACGACTCAACTGTTAAAAGAACTGGCTGCTCTTACAGATTACCAGGGTTCAATTCCCAGCACCCCACATGGCAGCTGCCTATAACTACAGTTTCAAGGGATTCAACACCTGCACACAAAACACCAGTGCACATAAAAGAAATTTAAATAAAAACTAAAAACAAACAGACCAGTTGAAGTTGTCCTAAAAAAAATTATATGAAAATTAATGTCACTCCAGATAAAATGCTAGATTTGCCACTTGAAGCTTTTTCTTCAGACACCGCCCCTAAACCAGCAGTTCTCAACCTGTGGACTATGACCCCTTTTTTTGGGGGTCATATTTACATCACAGTTCATAACAGTAGCAACGTTACAGTTATGAAGTAGCAATGGAATAACCTTAGGGTTGGGGTCACCACCACATGAGGAACTGTGTTAAGGGTCACAGCGTTAGGAAGGTTGAGAACCACTGGCCTGGACCAGTTTCCTCAGGATGCTTTTCTCTGCCATCAGGGAGACTGGTTGGTAAAGTCTGAGATTAGGTGAACTACGATACTGTTTATAAAAATAATCTCTGACATACCGTCGTACAATGTTACTACTTTTTAGAAGTATAAATGCCATTAGAAGGGGGCTTGTTTTAACAGGTAGAAATGTTTCTGCATGTGTGTGTGGTGTGTGGTGCGTGTACACATCTGTGTAAACACATGTGGAGGTCAATGATCAACACGGGATATCTCCCTCAGCTCTCTCTGTCCTAAGCTTTTGAGGCAGAGTCTCTCATCAGGCCTGGAGCCTGCCTATTCTGCTGGACTGGACAGCCGCCCAGCTCCGGGGTCCACCTGTCTCCGTCTCTCTCCAGCCCTGGGACTGGAGAACCACACTTCTACACTCATCTTTAACGCAGGTGCAGAATGGCAAGAGAGCTCAGTCTCGGGCTTCTGAAGTGAGCACTGCGCTGGCTGAGCCATCGCCCTGCGCCCTGCGTTTTCCTCTTCTAGGGTTCTTCTTGAATAATCACGGCATACATAATCAGTTGCTCGGCGACTTTTACAAGATGGCAACCAAAGCAAATCTGCATCTCACTGAGTCTCTGTGACATGATGGCAGCTGTGATGCCGCAGGCACCCCTCCCTCTTGGCCATAGGGCTGAGCTGGTGTCACCTGACACTGGCTTTGCCCAGGCTGCTCCCTCAGATTTATCTGCAGCTGGCTTGTAAAATATGCTAATGAATACAGCCATTCACCACTTCTGAGGCTGATGCTTGCCTAACACACCAGGCATCCAGTGACCCAGAACTATTTCCCTGACATAGCTGGAAATGGCCACGATTACACAAGAAGTGTGCGCTCTTATTGTCCCTGCCATGACTAAAATTCTCAGATGAGGTAGACGACTGACTCCCGAAGGTTGTCCTCTGTTCTCCATACACACGGCATGGCACACATGCATGTATACACAACACACACAATAAAAATGTACTTTAAAATTAATGAAAAATGAGGGTACAGTTCTTCATCAAAGGAAGTCAGGACAGGAACTGGAGCAGGGCAGGAACCTGGAGGCAGGGGCTGATGCAGAGGCCATGGAGGAGTGCTGCTTACTGGCCTGCTTCCATGGCTCCGTCAACCTGCTTCCTTTCCGCTTTTCTGTTTGATTTTAAATTATAGAGCTTTCTGCTTGATCACAGAACGCGGCTCCCTCCGTCCTGATGAGACTTAGTCTGTAGGACGTCTCTAAGATCCTTTCTTCCCGTCCAATGTGCTGCATGCATGAATCACCCCCGAGCTGACAGATCACCCGCTACAGACGCCACCATCTGCACCACAAGACTGGAACAAACTGTCCCGAGACAGAGAAATGAAGAAAGGATCCCGGGGAGATGCATCATCTATTACAAACACTGGTTTGCTACATTCTAGAGGGAATGACGGAAGACCTCTACACGGTGATTATAAAAGGGCAAGGCACGTTAATAAAGTACTTGCCCCTCGGCTGGCCCATTAACGCAACACAGCACACCAGGGCTATCCTCAGAGCTTTTCTGCTGTCTGGGGAACATCAATGACAATGACAAGCATCATCTGAGAGAGCCGGCCTCTCACTTCTGCCTACGTGGGCGTCACAGCCAGAAGAGCTCCCCAAAGCGGACATACGGCATTTAATTAGTGTTTATTGGATGCTTGCCATGGGCACTTTGCAAGGTGCCTCGTGGACATCTGACGCCTCATTTAACCCACCTGTCCTCACTAGGCTCAGTCACAGTCAGTGTCTTGGTTAGGGTTTCTATTGCCGTGTCGGAACACCATAACCAAAGCAAGTCGGGGAGGAAAGGATTTACACTTCGGCAGCACTGTTCATCACCAGAGGAAGTCAGGGCAGGAACTCAAGCAGGGCAGGAACCTGGAGGCAGGAGCTGATGCAGAGGCCATGGAGGGGAGCTGCTAGCTGGCTGGCTCAGTCGAGAACCCAGGACCAGCAGCCCAGGGATAGAAGGCACCACCCACAAATGGGTGAGCCCTCTGCATCAATCACTAATTAAGAAAACGCCTCATGGCCAGATCTCCTGGAGGCATTTTCTCAGTTGAGGTTCTCTACTCTCTGACGACTCTAGCGTGTGTCAAGTTGACACAAAACCAGCCAGCACAATCAGTAAACGGGAAGAAAAAAAAAAAAAGCTTTGATGCTCACAGCGGTCCTTCAGCAGGGGCTCACAGAACATCTGCCACTAGGGGCGGGGACGCCAGCCCCACAATTTTACTTACACTTGTGGATCAAGATGTTGGCGGAGGGGCTGGGCGGCAAACAGACAACAGACGGCTGGGCCCCTAAGCGTTCCCGTTCTACCCACTTCTCTACGCCCTTCCTCCAGCCTAGTCCAAGACTCCCGCAGACTACTCTGCCCACAGCCGCGCATACGCAGGGTTTCTCTGTTCCTGTGCCGCACTACCAGTTTTTCTGTCAGGAGGAGGAGGAGGATATCATCATTTAGCGGTATCCCTGGGCCTCAGTTACTAAAAGCCGGCACACAACGACCTTTAAGGGTACCAGGTGCAGGGGGAAAGTCACCACAATGACACCAGTCACCTCTAATCAGCTCCGTCTTCCTTTCTACCTCCCGCCACAAGGGCCTTGGTGCCTTCTGTGTACGGCAGGGGCACAAATTCCCCAGCATGTACCTCGATGACAGAGGACAACTTGAAGGGATCAGGAATCTGTTCTCTATGTCTACCACATGGGTCTTGGGACTCAAATGCCGTCACCAGACTTGGTGACTGGCACCTTTACTCACTGGCCCCTTTATTTGCCCTTTCGATTATTCTCCCGATGTCCAGGCCTTTGACTCTGCTTCTTTGGGAAGTGGTAGTTTCTCAACATCAGCGCCATTAGCATGGGAATTGCTGTGGGGATTGTCCTATAGATTAACAGAATTCCTTGGCCTCGACACATTAAAGCCAACAGCACCACTTCATTCCATGCCCAGCTAGGACGACCTAAAATGTCTCCGGATGTTGTGAAACATCCCCTGAAGGAAAGATCACCACCATCAGAAACAGCCCTGGCCTCCTCTGTCCCCTGCTTGAGTGCTTCTGGTCCTCCGTTGGGCTCACACAGCATCAAGAAAGCCACCCTGACCTAGACCACGGACGAATCTGTTCTCGCTGCTGGTGTCTCCCACCACGCCCTCTACATCTTTGCAGAAGGCCAGCAGTGGCGATGAAGTGGCATTTAGTGCCCCACTGTACCGGCTCCTTCTCAGCAGGAACCATGTCTCCTTGACTGCTGTGCCCCCAGGGGCCTGGTTAAGCATTTCCTAACAGAATGAATGAACCAGGCATCCTGTGGGGGGCAGAGAAGTTTTAAGGTTTCAGAGATGCTATCTCTGACCTCAGGTTGCTAAGTACAAAATGAGAAGTTAAGTTTTATCACCTGAGCAAGCTAGCTGCCCTGAGAAGCTGCTGAGGGCATAAAAATACGCATTTCTTCTGAAGGACCAAATCCAAGAAACCACATTCCAGGGCCAAGTAAGTCATGGACCAAAAGACCAAAGTCCCTAGAGAGTGG